GAGTGTCTAAGGACACTGCTGTGGCTTAGCCCAGACCCAGCGACCAGCAACTCGAGTCTGGGAGGCGACTGACATGCTTCACCTGCTCCTTCCTGCACTACACGCAATCAGGGCCAAGTTGGCAGTAGAGCACTACTCTGGGAAGGAAAAGAAACGTGTAGTTTGGCCAGACTACTGGGGAGAAAAAGCCACCTAAGAAGTTTCACATGGATCTTGTTCATTCCACTATGTGCTGTTAACTACCTTTCCCATAAGACACTCTGAATGGCGGGGGCTGGAAGGAACTGAGTGGGTGGCGGCTTTCTCCTCAGGTCCAGGCATGCACAGTTGATGCCTGCTCCCCAGAGCGGAGGGAAAAAAGCCCACCCAAAAGGCTGAGGATTAGCTCTAGAAGTTTCTGAGGTCAAGTCCAGTGTGGGACTGCACAGAGACCACAAAGAAGATCCAAGAGAAGCTCTGTGTCTGGAGGCGGGTATCTACGGAAGAACTATTAGGTTCTAATTATCCACTTGGAGATATTTTGGAGCAAATCAGATAGACATAACAAATAATAAAACATGCAGGAAAATATTTAACAGGTTAAAAATGAGAGACGGACCTCCCCTTGTACATAACCCTGCCGGATCAGATCACTATGTATCTCACAGCTGCCACCCAGTTTCTCTGGAGGGCCAACGAACGGGGAAGAGAAATCAAGACCTTTCTCTGATGTTGCCTCCTTGCACTGATATTCAGAGGTTTATTGTCTCTGCAGGTGGAGGTTTCCTTAGTAGCCATTGATCTACCTATCCTTCATGATTCAATCTGTGATGTATTTCCTGAGAACTAGACATTGCCCTAAAAGGTTTTTTTTCTGTCATACAATTTCCTGCACACCCCACTGCACCATGGTCCCCATGGCAATTCTAAAAGATTCAAGGGGATAGAATCTGGGCCTGGATACAAATCCACCCAACCCTGGACTGATAACTGAGAGATAATCTCACCGTCGAATGAGCCACCAGAACATCTCACAGCCCTGTGATATTGCCTTCCACTATGGGATCGTATACCGAATGCCATCATCTGTACTGTCCTTACTAGCACTTTATGATGGTACGTAGGTTGCTTTTGTGTGTATTTTATCGTATTTATTGTTTTATTGCATTTTAATGTCTGTTTGCCGCCTTGAGCCAGTTTGCCCGGCAAGGCAGGATACAAATTGAAAATAATAAATAAATAATGAGGTAAACGGACAGGAATAAGCTGATTTGCTGTTAAAGTGAACAGGAACAAAATTTATTCAAAACATACGCAAATGAGGTAAATATTAACACTGAAGCAGAGGTTTCAAATGGTACATACGTAAAGAAAAACATTCTCCCAGAAAGGTTTTTAACACATAAATGGAGTACACTGTATTTATACTGATGCAACACTGACGCCAATGAGAGCAGCGCTCTGAACCAGCCCAAAGGAGCTGGATCTTGGGTCTCACCACCCTGCACATGTCTGTGAGAATGTGCAGAACAGAATGCAAAAACTTTGTAAGCTTGGAAGTGATCCCAAAGTGAAAATCTTTAACAAGGAAAACAATTCTCTTTAAAAATCCGTTTTATTAATTCTGTCGGATCTCCGAGAATGTAAAAATATCTAGCCAGATTCTAAATAAATTGACCAGCAATGGCTCTCAGTCAGCTGTCTTTTTGAGACCTGCTACCTGAGTTCCTTTTTACTTGAAATGCCACAGACTGGACATCCATGAAGCTGCCTTATACTGAATCAGACTATCGGTACATCAGGGTCAGCATGGTCCACTCAGACAGGCTGCGGCTCTCCAGGGTCTCACGCAGGGGTCTTTCACAACACCTCCTACTTGATCCTTCCAACTGGAGATGCCAGCTGGGGCCTTCCGCATATGAAGCAGAGGCTTTTCCACTGAGCCACAGCCCCTCCCTAAAAGGTCCACCTGGGACCTTCCGCACACGCAGCTGGTGCTTCACCTCTAAATATGGCTCATTACCAAAGACGTTTAACTACATTAGCTAATGCTGCTCATGTATTTACACACACTAGTGACTTGTTTAATCACAAAGAGTGGACTTTAGTTCTCATACCTTGTTTGGCAGGGGTTCTGTTTTTGGTTTAACCAACTGAGTTCCTGGAGGTATCATTCCTTTCGGGGGGTCTTTTACTTTGACTTCTAGTCCCGCATCTATAAAATTAAGAAGTACAGATGTAGTTTTGCAAAGCTGGGATTAAGCTGACATACTTCTGAAGAGGTGGAAGGAAGTGGCAATGAATGGATAGTCATGGTTCAAAAACTATCCTCCAAATTTACATCCTCTATCCAAATTTTGGCATGCTGCTGTGAACAATCTAAAACGAAAACCGTGAGGTTATATAAAAAGAAGTTATATAAAATTAACATGTACCTATTTCAATGCCATCAATCGTAACATGAATGGTGTAGAGTCCGACTGCTCCAGGAGTCCAGTTAGCACAATAAGTACCATCATTGTTAACTCTTATTAACATGTTTTCACTTGGTCTAGGGGAAAAAGGAATAATGGAAGTCACAACAGGACACATATGGCTACAACATTAAATCTAAGCCGTCAGCTTTATGCTTCAAAAATCTAAGCGATGTTGGAAATGTGAAAATAAGGTTGGCTCATTTTACCACATGTGGTGGCATTGTGAAAGATCTAAGAAATATTGGGTAATGGTACATGAAATCTTGCAAAAGGTACTAGGGATGGTAGTACTATTTACACCAGAGACTTTGTTGTTGAATATTCTACCTGATAATTCTAACAAAGATGATCATTATTTGATTGTTTTTTTAACTACGGCTGCAAGAAATCTCTATGCAAAATATTGGAAATTACTGGAGATACCAACAAAACGAGAACTAGTAAATAAAATCTTGGAGGCTGCGGAATTGGATAAATTGACTTTACTGATAAAAGGCGCAACAGATTCGACATTCCAGAATACTTGGTCACAGTTCTATAATTGGTATGATAAATATATGTTGGCAAGCTTGCAAGAGACAGACTAAGAGTTTACTAAATGAAATATATACCTGTTAGGATGATAGAGACAGAAAAGTTGCTTACACAGTTCATGAGAAATTGTTATTAAGGTGGAATAGGCATCAGTATAAATATTAGTAAAATTAGTAAAATTGAAAATTACCTCCATGTATGTGGTTTGTACTGTTAGTATGTATGTATATGTATGTATATGTTATGATTGTTTGTGTATGTTACGTGGAAAATGTAATAAAACCCTGCCCCTTTGGGGGCAGTTTAAAAAAAAAATCTAAGCGATAAAATTATTTTATATTAAAAATCAAAGCTGGACAATACAATTTCCTCTGCCCAAGCATTTTAAACAAAGACTATCAGAATATGTTGTGTCCTCCCCACCACCACCAACTTTTCCCTTCTGACTCATCAGCTCTGTATTAGTTCATGCTAAGATTCAGTTAAAACTTGTGCAACTAAGGGACATATCAGAGATGATGCTGAAAAATATATATGATTAGACCTTCTACCTCCCCCCCCACCCTTGCAAATTAGAAGTGGTTGTAGGGGGTGCCCAAATCAGGCTAGGAAAGCGGCACTGGGGAAGGTGACATTTGACAGGTACAGAATGCAAGAGTGAATCCACAAGAAATATTTGCCACTGAACTGCAAATTTAGCTGTAGCTTCCCAAATAAACTGAAATTTCCTCATAACTTTTTCCTTGATACTGAAGCAGTGAAACCTGAACACCACTGATAAGAACTTAACCACTATTCCATAAAGTCACACACGTATGTAAAAAAATGAAAACGTACAGAAGTTGAAATGTATACAAAATGATTACCTTTTAGGTGTTGGTGAAGCAAAGCGTAATTCTTCAAATGAATAATTTTCATATACCTGAAAGTAACGAGCATATCAAATTGAGTATGTTTTAACACCAATGAAACAGTTGTTATCTTGATTCTCGGATCAAAAATCTGACATGGAATAAGTTGCTCCACTCTAAAAAGAAAAGTAATTTATTGGCCAACTGTTATTGTTACTCAGCATACTTCTCTGTCTGAACTCTCACGTAAACAGGCCCGGCTACAATTTTTCGATTAAACTCTGACATACCTGCTGAAAATGTCAATAAGCGATTCAGTTAAATCAGGGGTCCCCAACCTACTTTTTCCTTGATACTGAAGCAGTGAAACCTGAACACCACTGATAAGAACTTAACCACTATTCCATAAAGTCACACACGTATGTAAAAAAATGAAAACGTACAGAAGTTGAAATGTATACAAAATGATTACCTTTTAGGTGTTGGTGAAGCAAAGCGTAATTCTTCAAATGAATAATTTTCATATACCTGAAAGTAACGAGCATATCAAATTGAGTATGTTTTAACACCAATGAAACAGTTGTTATCTTGATTCTCGGATCAAAAATCTGACATGGAATAAGTTGCTCCACTCTAAAAAGAAAAGTAATTTATTGGCCAACTGTTATTGCTACTCAGCATACTTCTCTGCCTGAACTCTCACATAAACAGGCCCGGCTACAATTTTTCAATTAAACTCTGACATACCTACTGAAAATGCCAACAAGCAACGATTCAGTTAAATCAGGGGTCCCCAACCTCTTTGTGCCTTCAGGCACCTTTGGAATTCTGACACAGCATGCTGGCACAGGAACAAAATGGCTGCCACAAAATGGCAGCTGCAAGAGGAAGACTGCTGCGGCTTACATTCAGTCACACTGTGAAGATCCCTGTGCTATTGTGGCACCTGCTGCCAAAGCAAAGTTTGTTTTTTTTTTAAAAAAAAAAATATCTGCACTGCCAATCAAATCTCCAATGGCCAATCAGAAGGCTTGCTGGGCAAACGCCACACCTGGCCCCACCCAATTTCTTAAAATGCTTGGCGGCCACGATGGTGCCTACAGGTACCACATTGGGGACCCCTGACTTAAATGTTTTTTTCCCCTTAAGGAGCTACAAAATAATGCCATCATCCACAATCCTCTCAACTCTCTTACCATTCTGCTTCAGTTAATTTTATTTGTGTGCGCGTGCACACACATGTGGGAGTGTTTGTGTGCTTGCCTGGAAGTCATGGTGACTTCTGGTGACCCTTACTGGGTGCTTGGATGTTTTTCAGAGAGGTGGCTTGATTAGCTTGCCTCAGCATCCCACTTCTGCTATTCTTTGGAGGTCGCCCTTCCAAGTACTTGCCAGAGTCGACCCTGCTTAGCTTCCGAGATCTGACAAGATCGGGTTTGCCTGGGCTATCCAGGTCAGGGATCTTTAGTGAGATTTTCATCAGCAGGGTCCCCGCACAAAATGAGTGAAGCTCAAGCAAGAGGTGACAGGGAAAAAGAACATGTCATTCCATAATTTTTTTATTCGTACATATCTTTAGGGACACTTGCATGGAAATCCACACCAAACAGAAGCATTTTAGCACAAGACTAGTAATTCTGGTTACTCCTAAAGTTCCCTTGTCCATCTAATCAATATTCAAACTCCTGTACCTTCATCATTGTAATAGCTATATAACGAGCTTCTTTGACTATCATTGGTTCATAGGAAGCATCCAGTTTGGGAGAAGGAAGTCCTCCAAATGTCATATCGGTGCTGGCGGCAGCAGCAGCAGCCCCTGCAGGACTGCCTGGTATTCGCTGGAGTTTTTTTGCCTGTTCTTGCTGCAAGGAAGTTTTCTTCTGGGAAACAGGAATTGCCTTGACTTCCACCTGCCAAATTTCAATAAGAACAAGTAAAATATATATTAAAGTTAAAAAAGAGCCAGCAGTAACCAAAAGTACTTTGCAAATGTATCCAATTCTTTTTCAAAAGGTTTTGTACAATAGCCAGTAGAAATGCAAAGAAAACCTATTTTCACTCAGTCCTAAGCAAAGAGGGAAAAGGCATGAAATCAAAGGTCAGGCTGCTAAATTTCGAACAGCTGCTAAATTTCACTTCTTAGATGCCCCTAGTCCCTCAACAGGAGGTAAATCCTGCAATGTGAACAACCAGTCAAGCTGTAAACCCAAGCTGTAATATTCTATTAAAATTCTGCTTTTAAAGGCCTTATATGACTTCTGCAAAGCACTAACAGAAGCTGGAATACTTTCTTTGCCCATACATGAAAGGCCGGAGCATCAGGCAGAGGTAGGGTTGCCAAATTGTTCTCGGCCGGGAGCGGGGGGCTCCCGGCTGGCGTCGGGGTTGTGCGCGCGCGCACCGCGTGCGCGTCACCCAGAAGTGACGTGGGCACACTGGGCACGCTGGGGGCGGGGCTTCGGGGCTTCAAAGCGGGGGATTCCCCGCTCCCCGCTCACATTTGGCAGCCCTAGGCAGAGGTTCAGGCAAGGAAGGAAAAAAGGTGGGAGACAGAAGAGAATAAGCGGGGGAGGAGGCGGCTGAGAAGGAGGAACAGCTACAGAGTTAGGGTTAAAATTCAGAAAGCCAGTAGAATCAGAAAATAGTCAAAAAAAGGCACGAGTGCTAACTTCGTGCTGCTCTCCCCACTGAGGCAGGAACAAAACTGAATTGAGGGGCGTGTCCCACCGAGAGAACAGGAAGTGAAGTTTGGTTCCTGCCTCCCTAAGGACAGGGTGGGAAACACCCATCAAGATGTCCTCCTCTCAGAGGGAAAATATTATATGCTAAATATCAGCGAAGAAAAGAGTCACCATCAAAACAAGAAATAATAAATAAACTACTGGAAATGGCTGAGATGTGCAAACTGACTTTACTTTAAAAAGGACAAAAAGAGGAAAACTTTGAAAGTACATGGTCAAGATTTTACAGATGGATTGAAGAATATATTAAATGAACTGTGTATACAACCAGAATAGAATGAAAGAAGAACATAATAAGGACGTTGATAGTAATATGTGCAAAACTTTAACATTATAAGGTGTAAAAACTTATTTGTGTTTAGAGAGAAAAACTTAAGAGATACTTAATGGATAGATTCTCCTATTTTATATTTGTGTGTAGACTTGCTTTGTATTTGATTTTTCCCCATTTGTTTGTTGTTGTTATAAAATAAAAGTAAAACGTATTCTAAAAAATAAATAGAAATGCTCTAAAGATATTCCAGCACCAAACGTGATCTCCATCTAAACGGTAAATTAAATTACTATGGGCCAAGCTGTGATTCAAACTATATAATAATCTAAGTAACCGGAGCCAGCCTTAAATCAAGCAGCACTTCAGAAAGGATTTTTTTAAAAAAATCAAAACACCCTCTCTCTGTGTCAAGTTATTACACAAGAAGTATACCGGCAAATGTAAGAGTGTCTTTTTAAATCCGCAGACTATCACCTTCATATTGGGCACATGAACAACGTCACCATATTGGTCCTTGGTCTGCACTGTAATAACGGTTGGCCAGCCACACCGGATATCATCTTTATTCAGAATCAAGGATGTTTTCTGGGGATCTGCATAGGAATCTGGCTGAAGCCACCTAAAAACCAAGAGCAACAAAATCATTTACCACTCTCTATATCTTCATGCGCTGTGGAGATTAAATCTCTCGCTACAAAAGGGAGTCCAGAATAAGACAATTTGTATATTACAGCAAGAAACATAAAGTTACTAGAAAAGAAAAGATCTTAGGTCATTACTTCTATAGTAAAACACTACGCTTTTAAAAAATCTTTCTGCATCAGTGCTTTCTAGCTACACGAGTGTTAAAATAAATGACTTCTGTCCATATGCACAGAGGATAACACCACACCTGCTACAACCAGGATTTAGTTCAGGACATAATGAACAATGGTACTACTTAATGAAAAAAAATGTTTTTAAAAGAATTCTCAAGGATTAAAATGGCACGTCTTTTCCTGCACTGATTAAAAATCGAAAGACAAGTATGCGAGAGAAAAATGCATTTTTCGAAGTAAAGTATATAAGTAAAGCAGACAAAAAATACTCAAGAGATAAGAGCATTTGGATTCTATTCAAAATGACCATAACAACTGGGGTCATGGATACAGCAATGTAATACAGCAACTAAAGTACCTTGCAAGCCGTCCACCACTTGATCCTGGTACACAGGAAATAAAATCCTCCAAAAATGACTGTTCATTGCTTTGTACTTGCAGTGGGAGAGTTCCTTCAAGTGCCTCCAGGATAGTTGGTGAATGTGACAATGCTAAACCTTTTCCCAGGATGCCAGAGTGTGATTTACAAACCTAGTCAGAAATGATAAAAATATTACATTTTGTTTCTAAACAAATGTACTGCTTTTTAAAACATGATAACAAATCCAGTCATTTTAACTGAATTTTAAAAACGCACATCCTGCCTATTAAGATTCTCCCTGAGTGGCTAACATTTACAAAATACAACAATCTGATTACAAAACATTGCCATGCCAAGGCTGAAAGGACCAAAAATCATTGGGGGGGGGGGAATAGCTAAAACCACATTTTAAATCTCAGTTATCTACAGCTCAAAAGCCAGGCTGAAACTTATTTTCACCGTCCTCCTAAAAAGGAATAAATATAATATACCACCTTTGGGTGGAATCTTCATCAACTAGTAGCTCCTGCATTTTAAAAAGCTCTTCAATCTCAAGAGCTCAGGGTAGTTTAAACTACACCCTGTAAGGGTTCACACATTAAATCAGCCTGTGCAGAACCATGGGGCTACTGTAAGCTCTTGGAGGATTGGCTACACTAGGGGTGTGTGGCCTAATATGCAAAGGAGCTCCTGCTACCAGTAGAGCCCAATGGCATAAATATTTATATAAAAGTGGGTGTGTGCATGCAGGGAGAATGCATAGGGCTGTGTCTGATAGAGAGACTCCAGTTTTGACAAATGAACTCCAATGTTCTGGAAGGATGGATAGAAAATCCAAGCAAACATCCAACAAGCAGTGATATTTGGCCAGTCTGAAAAGCAGGTGATACGGTGGACAGAATGCCCAATTTTGATTGGCAACACCTAGATTGAAAACTGACTATAGTACAGTTCCTGTATCATGCTACACTACCTCACAGGGTTGTCTGAGAATAAAAGGAGAGACATATGTTCCCACCTTGAGCTGCTTGGAAGGTTTATCAATGACATAAAAAACATAAATTTCTTCTTCTGGGATAAACAAGGCCATTAAACCCAGGACTTTCTAGATTAGCTGCTTTACAGAACTTTCCTGATGACCACAAGTTACACTGCTCAATTTGCATACAGGGTATACTTGAGGAAGAGAAGCTGTAACTTTCTTCCTAACAGTAAAAAGCCCAGCAGGAACTCATTAGCATAATAGGCCACACCCAACAGCAGAAACTCATTAGCATATTGGGCCACACCCCGGACAGCACAGCTCATTAGCACATTAGGTCGCACCCCCATGTTACCAGAAGTGTGGTCATCCAGCCACACCCACTTTTTGCTTCTTATTCTGTTTACCTTGTTTGTTGTCAAAACCCAGGGCCTTTTTTGGAGCAGGAACTCCTTTGCATGTTAGGCCACACACCCCTAATGTAGCCAATCCTAATGAGTTTCTGGTGTTGGGTGTGGCCCATTATGCTAATGAGTTCCTGCTGGGTGTGGCCAACTTGGAGGCCAGCCGGAACTCCGTTCCTGTGCGTTCCTGCCCAAAAATTGTATTGTTGTTATACATGCTTGTGCAGGTAAAACACACAGTCCCATCTGTACGTCCACTATAGTTTATAGATGGAGAATTTGAACCTGGAACCTTTCAACGCTACATAACAAGATGCAGGCAAAGAAAAAACAGACTGCTGCACATACTGATGACCATTCTCTGGAGAACAGCCCATCCGATTTGTACAGCCATTTGGAAAACATAAAATATTAGTATACAAGTACTGCCACATTATAAACATTATACATAGATATACTGATCGCACTGCATTTAAGACCACTGTCACTGAGACTGCTCCAACACATCAAAAGGTTGGGGTTTCCACCCCCCCTACGGTTCGAGGTGCTGTTAAAAAAGCAACTGCTGCAAATTACACAGTATGACCCATCTAGAAATTGATGGATCTCAAGGGTTATAAAGGAAGTAACTGAAAGTCTCAAGAGTGGGTTTCTAGCCTGTAGAAAAAAAATCAAGAAAACACATTTCAGGGGTTTACAAAGAACTCATAGAAGTTGGAGGACACTGTCAGCGGCCACTACAGCCCAGCTGAGGACATCAACACAGCAGATCTTGTTCTCTCTCTTTGTAGAAGAAGAAGAGATTGGATTTATACCCCGCCCTTCACCCGGAGTCTCAGAGCTGTTTACAAACTCCTTTCCCTTCCCCTCTCCACAACAGACACCCTGTGAGGTAGGTGGGGCTGAGAGAGCTCTTTCTAGAACTGTCCTTGAGACAACAGCTCTGAAAGAACTATGGCTTGCCCAAGGTCATCCAGCAGCTGCAAGTGGAGGAGTGGGGAATCAAACCCGGTTCTCCCAGATTAGAGTCCACGCACTTAACCACATCACCAAACTGTGACATACAGACCTTGCCTGCAGCTAGTGACCCTCATTTCCCTTGAGACATTCTATTACTTTGGCCATAGACGTTAATCAACTCTACAAAATGATTTCCTGAGCAATTAAACCATCTTCCTGCTGTTCTGCGAATTAGCAAGGCGTCTCAAAAAGTGTTTTGTAAGGGCAGCAGCAATCGTCTACCTGCAGAGCGGCCTCTTCAAGTATCTCAAGATCTTCTTCAAATTCATTGCCTGTTAACCAAACAGCACACAGTGTTGTGATATCAACTGAATCCATATCCTTAAAAAAGAATACTGATTTTTTTTCAATGAGATAAATTGGTCAAGTGGTTCTTGCCTGGGTATAATTTTTAGCACTATTAACCTGAGCAGTCCTGACATGAAATTCTGACTCCTTACCCCTGGAAGACAGAGATATCCTCTAACTAATGCTAACAAATCCCAAAGGGGGGGGGGGGACAACCAAGTAGGACAGCATGAAATTAAAAGATTCTTGGGAAGATACAAAAGCGCCCCTCCAAGCTTAATAAGCACCATTTATGCAGCACAAATGCTCCAGAAAAAAAATGATTGTGAACTTACAGGACGCAATTAAGATGATTTTCTTTCAGCATCTTGAAGGGGATTAAACCAGCTGCACTAATTGGAAGATTATACCCACACTGACCACAGTCGAGGGAAACGGCGTAACTAAGTACTTCACCAGTCAAGCAGGACTTTTGGCTTTTCATCAGATAAGCAATCCTGTGCTCTGCAGGCAAGTCACCGCTGAAGCTCAGGAGATTTCCCAAAGCAGTTTGTGGCGTGGCATCAGCAGCTGCTACTCGTAGAGCTGGATACCGACTAAATTTTCCAGCAGCAGACTGGAAATCTCCTGCCTCCCACGGCAGCCCTCTGATCTCTACCAAATGCTGCTCCTGGGAAACAGGAGGGGGCCTGGGGAATGACACACGGGGACTCTGCGGTGGAAAGGGGGGAATGGGTGGAAAGGGTCACTTTAGTCTGAATCTAGTCCGCGGAGTCTGATGCAGTCCCTGCTGGGCATGCAGAAGCCCCTGAGCATGCTCCTGAAGCAGTCCGGATGGTGACCAGTTTCAGAGAGTGGCGGTGTTGGTCTGCAGTAAAACGGCTAGATTCCAGAGTCCAGCAGAGCTTTGACTCTCCAAAGCTTATACCCTGAAACTCTTGCTGGTCTCTAAGGTGCCACTGGACTCATAAGAACATAAGAGAAGCCAGTGTTGGATCAGGCCAATGGCCCACCCAGTCCAACACTCTGTCATACAGGGGCCAAAAATACCAGGTCCCATCAGGAGGTCCAGCAGTGGGGCCAGGACACTAGAAGTTCTCCCACTGTTGCCCCCCCAAGCACCAAGAATACAGAGCATCCCTTGCCGCAGACTGAGAGTTCCTATCTATACCTTGTGGCTAATAGCCACTGATGGACCTCTGCTCCGTATGCTTATCTAATACCCTCCTGAAGCTGTCCATGCTTGTAGCCGCCACCCCCTCCCATGGCAGTGAACTCCATGTGTTAATCACAATCGAATCTAGCTGGATTGTGACTGTTACCTTTAACATAATATTCCTCCCCCAAAAGCAGATCCTATAGCTGTTTGATGAATTCTACAAATAAGGGTGAATCCGCCCCCTTTAAAGGCCACGTACCAATGGGAAGTGCCAGGTCTTTTTTCATCAAAGCTGCAGCACACGCTCCTCCGAGATTGGCCAGCTCTTTCTCCAGCTGAATGATACCCTTAAAACAAATAGAACAAAAATACGTTTTCCCCCCCTTCATTTTAGGGACTCAAATTCTTTCAGCCTCTCAGTCTGAAAACTAAAAACTACATAAATAAAATGTGTAACTTTTTGAAATCAAATTTCTAATTTTTTCTGGGGAGGCGAGCAGTTTGTGGCCTCCGGAAAAAGTCCCTGCAATTCATGTATCCTTTGTTTTGGGAAGGTGTGTGTGGGGGTATGTGGCTAAGGTACTACAATGAAGCTGTGAGCGACATGGAACAGTAATAAAAGATGTGGGGGAAGTGCCTTTGTAAATGGAAAAGGTCAGTGTAGTGGAGGGAACAGGACTGCCAGGAAATGGGTAAAGGTGTCAGACAACTGAAGTCTGCCCCATTTACCAGCCCCCTTCTCAGCCTGCAAGGCCCTGATAGCCATGTCTAGCCAGACTAAAGGTAAAGGTTCCCTTGCTCGAAAGCCAGTCAAATCCGACTCTAGGGTTGCGGTGCTCATCTCCGTTTCAAAGCCGAAGAGCCAGCGCTGTCTGAAGATGTTTCCGTGGTCATGTGGCCGGCATGACTAAACACCAAGGCGCATGGAACACTGTTCCCTTCCCACCGAAGTGGTATCTATTTATCTACTTGCAATTTCTTGCTTTCGAACTGCTAGGTTGGCAGGAGCTGGAACTAGAGATGGGAGCTCACTCCATCATGCGGCACCCGGGTCTCGAACTGCTGAACTACTGACCTTCCACAGCCTGCAGTTCAGCGTCTTAACCACTTGAGCCACCGCAGCTCCTAGCTGCTACCCTCCTACACCTTCCCAAAACAAAGGGTCTCAGGTCTTTCCAATCTATCAGGCAGAGTTCTAATTTATTGGGAACTTTTTTTTACCCAGCCTTTCTCCAAGTAGTGATACAAAAGGCATTTTTAAAAAAAGGAAAGGGGGGAAAGCTAAAATAAAATTAAGATGGGTAGCTGATCAAAAGAGAAAGATCGAACTGCATCAAAAGTGATTCCGAGTGATGTTGTTATATGGTAGTCCTGAGGGCCGTAAAATTTAAAGTCTACTGAATGACAAGATTCATGTAAACTTTGTGGTTTAATAAATAAGTAAAATTGGTGATACATCCCTGCTGGCATTTTAAAGAAAGAAAACACTGGAAAAGAAATCAAAACAGTTACTTCAAACAATCAAGTCTGTATATGATATCTACTCTGCAGAAGTGTTTCAATTAAAATGGGATTAACATTCCCACTGCTGGCCTGGAGGAACAACAGTGCGATGGATGGACTATCTGTATGATTGTTTCGAAGGCTGCTGTACTTAGAAACTCACCCTTACCTCATCAGGTCCTGGACTAAATTCATAGCCAATAGCAAAACATTTGAAACCATAGAAGGTGGCCTTCTCATCTTTCACGTAATCTGATGCAGTTTCAAGTGAGAAGAGTGCTTCATTACCTAAAACGAAATACTGAATTTAGCAAAGAAATAAAAAAGGATTCTCATCCAATTCTCCCTAAAAGCAGATGTGCAGTCTGCCTGTAATTTGTACTCAGCCTTTTGTGCTTATTTGTAGGAATCAGAAACACACATTATCCATCACTTTCTTTTCCAATTTTCTACAAAATCTATCCCAGTAATTAACTTGTAAGGATTTGGCCCAGACCAGGTTGCTGATCGGCACCTTTGAGTGCCGTTGCATGGATGGGACTCTACTTTCTGCTCAGCAATGCTTAGAACTTCCTAGAACCAATCTAAAAGAATTCTGCTGCCCCCCCCCCCCACTCAGGGAAGAGGCCAACTCACACAGCCTGGCCGGGTAGTGCTCCCCCCCCCCCTGCCGATTCCCCCCCCCCCCAGAATAGTGCCACTTGCTTTAGTTGCAGATGATGCAGGGAAGAAGACTATTATTTCAGATACTTAACCATTACCTCTTGACAAAGGCGGGTTCAACTGAAGCACTGTGAGTTCAAAAGTGACTGTACAATATGAGCCCTTCGAGAGCTGATGGAACCGAAGAAAATGTACAGAGAACTGATTGCCTCTTGACATAACCATGCCACGTGTTTCACTGGGAATCTCGCATTCGTGAAATTCAGAATTGCTTTTCTAAAACCGTGGGTCAATGTTGGCCTGCCACTAGGGATAATTTTTAGAAGCCATTTGTATTTACCCGGCAGCACTAAGACCATAGTAGGCCATCCAGATGAGCCTGAGAATTTCTTCAGTTCTATCCATGAGTTAAGGTTTTCATGGACAGAGGTCTGCTTTGGTCCAAATCCTGAGTTCTGTAGAATTCGGGCAGGAATGAGCAAGCGAAGGACATCTTCTGACTGAGCTGTTCCACACTGAGGGTCAAACTCTATTGTTATCCATCTAACACATTCTGGAAAAGTCACCTGGACAAAAGCAGGAACAAAGAGGTTAATGTGATTTTCCCAATGAGCTTACAGAACATGGACTTCTTTCTGGATAAGAATGAACAGAACCCAGTATCAAACGAAAGTTAAAGTACTGAGCTCCAGAATCTTTGGGGAAATTGGTTCATGTCCTAGCAACAGTTTACTACAGTGTTAAGCTCTGCTAATCTGAAAAAGTACCATTGTTCCTATTAAAAAACTTACATAGTACATAAATAGGCCCATGTTATCCTTGAATTTGATTAGTAGGACTGCTGTGTGATGGGAGGGAGATGACAAACTGACAAAACAAATCCAAGATTCTTAATCATGTGTGAAAGCCCTAATGGGAATCTCCAAAGAAATGGCCAATGGCCAGTCCCCAACATTTAGATACAGGGCCTTTGGTTATCATTTGGCAGCAGCTGTTTAGGAGACCCTCACAATGTATGGAACCAGCACTGCACAATCTGTTCCTAAAATAAGATACAATACAAAGCCCCAGCCTCGACATAAACTTTAGAATATCTCTAGTAGCAAATGCTTGCTTGTTCATTACAAAACCTCAACTCGAGAATGACTGAGCAATATGGTCTGGTTATTTACACTATACAGGTAACCAAATATCTAGAACTGTCTGAGTTGGAGGCTTGAAAAAAATCTGAAAGTACGTTAACATGTAGGCAATATGGCATCCATCAATTGTACAGTATTAGCATAGTGTAACATGTAGGCAATATGGCATCCATCAATTAGCATAGTGCGCTGCGATGTAGGTATGGACACATATTTAAACCAATTCCTGATGTTTACAATGCAGATATCCCTTCCTTATAGCACCACGTAATTGCTGCTAATATATTCCAACATTTATGTGCTGTATTCACAACCTCTTAGGAGCAAATGAGGTGGAGGAAATCCATGTTTTGGTCCTCTCACATTTTTCAAAGGTTTAAAAAGCAACTGCAGGATGGGTGTGGGGTGAAACGCTTAGCTAACTCTCTCTCCCTCAGTGTCATGGCCCCCAAATCCGGTTCCACAGCTGCTTTTAGTCTTTTAAAAAACCTGCAGGATACCCTAATCCCGGATCTCCTGGGTCACATCTAGCTCGGCCTTCAACACAGGATCTGAAGCAGCTGACAAAACAAAGTGCAAAACTAGACATTACGACTTTCAGCAAGTTTTTCTGGGGCAAAACAGCCCCAGGAGATCCGGGATTTGCCCCATTCTGGAACTGCAAATCGGGGCTGTTTGGGCTCAGGAAAATGGGACGGAGGAGCACAAACCACTCCTCCCCTCCCCCCATGCCACAGTCCAAATAGAATCAGGCCCCTGCAGTTCCCCACTGCTCCTGTCTGGGAAACCCAGACTCAGCTTGTCAAAAGCCATAACATCCAGTCTGACCCTAAAACAACCTGCTTTCCACCAGAACCAAGTATTGCACAAAACAACGTTTAACTAGGTCTGAGAAGGTTTGTGCCGTCAAAAGTAGTGCTTACCTTGTAGTGGGTAATACAAGCTGGTTTGTAGGGATGCTCACATTCAATGACAGCATAGTGGCTAGAGGTAGTACAAGCAGAGAGCCCTTGTTCTGGCTGGTTTCCTGTGGTACTGTCTGTAGACTGATTAGGGTTGAAGGTGGGAGGGGCATACTTCTGATTCAGAATTGCTACAGAAGGAAGCAACTGCTGAACTAGGCCGAAGACCTCAACAGCGACCTAGAGTGAAACAAAGCACATGACCAAATAATATATGAAACTGAAAGCGCTCGGACTGTGACCTGTGATGTAAAACTAAAAATTCTGAAGAATATACGTTACTGCTTTTAAAAATAACAGAATTCCTGGACTTGGAGTTGGGGAAGATGAGCTGTACTTCTGTACCCTCTTTCTTCCACCCCTTCTCATGTCTTCCCAGTACCACTCTCCCTGGGACCCTTTGGGGACAGGGCTTGGTGTCATCACAACATCACTTCCACTCATGCAACTGGAAGTGACATCATGTGCTCTGTGACATTCTAGCAACCCCCAAAATCTCTATGGTACCCAATTTTCACCTGCTGCTACACCAGATAGCCAGAGGTGGGAGGCCTCCGGCTATAGTGACAGGCTTGGTCCCCTTATTCCTGTACTAGTTAAGCTGGACGTGTGTGCAAAGTGCCTGCACCTCTCCCTTCTCTCTTCCAACACCATGTGGTGTGCTGCATATGAAGGTGCGGCAGCCTGCCACAAACACATCTAGCCCCTCCCAGTCTGAATGGGAGCACTATGTGGCAAGTGGCGGTTTCTTAAGGACCAACTGAGACCACTAATGGCGGTTAGAGAGAAGGTGGTGCTGTGGCTCAGTGCTCACAGTGGGACCCCAAGAGGGTCTGGAGTTACATGTTAGACCCGGCCTTTGGGATAGCAGACAAATCCTGGAGAATGGAGCCCTCAAGTAGAAGCGGGGCCTTCTATGAACGTAACAGCACCCTGAGAATTGTGATAGTTCATGCATGCCGGGAGCACAACTTCATACTGCGACCACAGAATAAAGGCAGCAATTTAGCTTCAGCCTGGAGGCTTTTGAGCATCTTTCCACATGGTAATCGTAAGTGCAGTAATCCACAAATGCTAGCAAAACAGAGTCGAAGGTGGTTTGATCCACAAGACAATGCAAAATGTAAAGTGCTCATAAATGTTTTCTCAAAGTCTTGCGATACCGAACCTCTGGAGATTCCGAAGACTCACCTTGGGGATGGCTGCAGCCACGGGTCCGATATACGCTATTATGAGAGGAAGGAGCATAGAAAAGAGACTGGAGGAGCTGAGCAGTTCCGGAATGTCTTCAGCTAAAGGAAGACATCACAAGATTTAGACATTCTTCTATGTACAAGTAATATACAACCGCTCACCTAAACAAGCTAAGATACATTGCAGCAGCTGTGTTGGTAAACAAAAAAATGTCATGATTTTTAAGATTAAGCATTGCTAAGTTCCATTCAGTTCAATGGGGTAGTTAAAAAGATAAAGGTTCCCTTGCTCGAAAGCCAGTCGAATCCGACTCTAGGGTTGCGGTGCTCATCTCCGTTTCAAAGCCGAAGAGCCAGCACTGTCCAAAGACATTTCCGTGGTCATGTGGCCGGCATGACTAAACACCAAGGTGCACGGAACGCTGTGACCTTCCCACCGAAGTGGTACCTATTTATCTACTTGCAATTTCTTGCTTTCGAACTGCTAGGTTGGCAGGAGCTGGAACTAGAGACGGGAGCTCACTCCATCATGCAGCACGCTCGGGTCTCGAGCTGCTGAACTAGCGACCTTCCACAGCCTGCAGTTCAGCGTCTTAACTACTTGAGCCACCGCAGCTCCTCACCTAACTCCCACGTGAAAACAAATGGAAAGGACTCAGCTCTGGCCAGGCTGCGTCTTGTGAATTTAGCCGGATTACATCTGGTGCTATTTCTGCAGTTATATTTAAAACAATGGTGGTGGTGATGGAAAGCGCCATCAAGTCGCAAATGGACTTATTATGGCAACTCCATAACATTTCAAAGGCATGAGACGTTCAGAGGAGGCTTGCCATGGCCTGCCTCTGCACTGTGACCCTGGACTTCCTTGATGGTCTCCGAGGCTGACCCTGTTTAGCTTCCGAGATCGGGCTACCCTGGGCCATCCAGGGCAGGGCATTTAAAACCACGATCATTTTCAAATCAATATAGTCAAATACTGCTTTATATGCCAAACGAAGAGCTGTTCAAATGCTGTGTCTCACCCTAGACACAATGCACTGAAGGTCTGAAGTTCGTGCACCGCACCGTCCCCCCCCACACCTGGAGGAGCTCATAAAGTTACGCTTAAAACATTCCCGCCTTAATCATTACATCGTATGGAGAACACATCAAGACCTACTCTTGTCTCTTTGCACACAAAGTTTGGTTAGAGAAGGGCACCTGGAAAGCTGCTAATGCTAATATTTCATAGTTGTAAAAAAAATATCAGATATTGATTTTTTAAATGCTGATGGCTTCTTTCTATTATTACTTTCACATCACCTTCATGGTATGTAAATATTCGACAGTGTGTAAGAGTTTCGCAAGGCGAGAGAATGTCTTTAAGGCAAACAGTTGCCACATAGAGCCTCTCCACCTCAAACGAAGCCTGGATGAGGGGGAACATGTCGACCTGTTCTGTGCCTCATTCTTACCATCTACAGCAAGGGCCCTGTGCAAAAGATCTTTAGCCGCTCGCACCACAGCCCCCACGACAGAAAGGGCTCTGCTGCAGTTTTTATCCTCTTCGTTGGCTTTACTTAAGAGCTGTGACTGAAGATCACCATCATACTCACTTCTGGAAAAACAGAATGGTTAATACGCAACAAGCTTGTAAGTGCACTAGGAAAACGTAACATCAAATCAAATTTAGAAGCACTGTGAAACACAATTTTCCCAAACTTTTATTTGAGGTTGTTATTAATAGCCATTATTTTTCTATTTTCTATAAGAGAACTGTGCCACACAATAATTATTATATCTAATTCTGAACCTGGCCCCAATGCAGACTGCAAAAGCTAGAGAATGGGGCCAGGTATAGACACGAGACATTTTCCTATGGACCTGGTGAAGCCCCCAGGTCTGTAGAAAAATTCCAAAAGTTTTTGTGTGGTTTTTGTTATGGAGGAGGGTGAAGTCCCCCTCCAACAGAGCAGCATAAAGGCAAAGGACTCTTCACAGCATGATCTGAGGCTGCACAGCAATCCAAATAAACACAGTTATGGACAGCAGGAAGATGTGAAGGCGGTTACTGATGGCTGTGAAACAGGGTGGAGAAGAAGTCAGGACCAGACCAGCAATAGCAGCAGAAAAGGAAAACAAGGCGTAGAAAAACTATTTATTCTTTCTTGATCCCAAACATGAGCTGTGCGGGCTCAGCTGGTTACCACGGTTACCACACACTGGAAACTGGAGACGCAGTCTGGAATCAAGTCACATACAAAGCCAAGGGTCAGAGAGCCAGGAAATCAGTCCAAGATTGCAGGAGCAAGGTGGGGTTGCTACGAGCCAGGGGGGACCTGAGTGTGCACGGTTGCTACCATGCTGAGGCAGGTACGTGGGGTGATTACGAACAAGTCCTCCCTTCCCAGGGAGTCAATCTGCCAAGACTCACAGCTCCTCACACGTTGCTTTTGCAGGAGCCGCAGTCTGGCACTCTTCCTTCGCTCTTGCACACTCAGCCGCTGGCGTGCCCTGTGTCTGGGGCACTCAGGAGTACTAGGTGGGGATTCTGGCCTTGGGGTGTCTTCAACGGAGGGTGCTGGGCCAGGCTCTGGATCGGCCTCTTCTTCTGGCTGCACCTCCTGTGCAGCTGCTGGGGCCTCTTCTCCCCCAGGTGCTGTTAAGAGTTCCTCTTCTGGGCCGACTCCAGAGGAGGCTGGGTTGCTCCCTGCCTCATCTCAGAGCCAGGACCCATGACACGTTTCACCTGTGGCTTCATCAGGGGGGGTCCCTTACAGCATAAGCTTCCAACCACACCTGGAGCTCCAGGCGTGATTGAAAGCTTATGCTATAAGGGATCCCCTGATGAAGCCACGGGTGAAATGCGTTGGAATCAAGAAAGAATAAATAGTTTTTTTCCCCCTACGCCTTGTTTTTCTTTTCTGCTGTGAAATGGGTTGGCCAGAGAGGAGGCAGGTGGGTGGTGCTTCCGCCATAGGGTAAAGGGAAGAGAAGAAGCCAACTGGGCAAGCAACAAGGTGGCAGCTGCCACCATCAGGAGGAAAAGAAGCCAGCTGGGTTCTGAGAGCTGAAGGTGTTTGGGCCGGGAGGGCAGAGAAAGCGAGAGCTGCAGGCTCCTTCCAACCTCAAGTGAGACAGGGAGGAGGAAGGAAGTGGCCACACTCATACATCGGCAAGTACCCTAGCAAAAGAGGGGGCCCTGGAAAGTGACTGTCCTCCACCTCATCCTAGCCAGCATACAGTTTTTCCCCAATCAGGGTGTCTCTTTCACCTCACCATTCAGCCAAGGTGATCCATGGCTGGGGTAGGGGGTCATATCACTACATGCAGCTTCTCTCACACTAACTCGGCTTAGAGGGAACATTGGCTACAGCATAAGTTAGTTTGCTCTGGAGCCATCCCTTCCTGAGCGAAGACAAAAATGCATGAGCCGGAGGCTAAAAAACTGTGAGCTAGCTCACACTAACTCGGCTTAGAGGGAACATTGGCTACAGTAGCAGTAAGTTCCCTTGTTTATTATACAGTGAGTGGGAGGCGGCAGGCTGGCTTGAGCCTTCTCCACATTCTGTTCACATTTTGGGATGACATAACACTTTTAAAAGAGGGGAGCGGTGGCACAGAGGATTTATCCTCTGGTATAATAGTAACACCTGAGCTGAACAGGCTTGCTGTCAGTTCTAGCCCCGTGCTGGTGTGAGCTGCCAGCCTTGTCCCCAGCTCGTCGTCTACCCAGCGGTTCGAAAGCTTCGGCGAGTAGATAAAATGGGTACCACTCCTTAGAGAGAGTGGGCACACTGACCCCCCCCTCGTGGGGTGGAGCGGTGTTAGCCGGCGAACGGAAGTCCAGCTCGCATGATGGAAAGCCTAGAGAGACCTCCTCGGCGTGAAAGAAAAGCCTGTAATGGGCCGTCCAGCCAGGCGATGGCAGTGTGGCGCTACAATTCAAGGAATCTGGAGAAAAGCTGACGCCATCAAACTCGGCCGAGGAAAAATGCCGTTCCGGATCACGTCTCATCTGCATCTGAACGAAACCCTTGTCGGCTGTGAATGTGTGCAATTTAAGATGTATATATGTTGTCCTTCCTTACCCCACAAAGCATTGTTAGTCCCTCGTGAAAAATGAGTAACTGTAAATCGCTCAGAGCCAGCAAGCTCTGCAGGATTGAGCGATCAATAAATTGAAAGATTATTATTATTATTATTATTATATTAAAATAGGAATCAAACCTCAGTGAAGCAACAGTTATAGCACAGAAGCTGATTTTTTTTTTGAGCCACCAGTTCTACTCTCCCTACAAAACTGACAACAGCAGGATCGAGAGAACAACCTGGATAATTAGAACGGTTACAGAAAGTTTGCACGGCACTCAGAAAACTGGTAGGTTTCCAACTCCTTATGTGTCCTCCAGCTTTTGCTCTCCTGTTAGCCACCTCAAATTGGCAGAGATCATATTTAATAAATACAACATTCAATCTACAATGCAAACCTCTTCCCAAAGAATATGACCCTGAGCTCCTTGAAGGATGAGTGGGATAAAATGCACTAAATAAAAGCACTAGAGAATGAATACAGCCCATGTACAATATTGCAGATAAAGTATCTACCAAGCTGAAAGGTGACAAGCTCTATAAGATCCAAATAATTTTAAGTTTCATTGCCGCTGTTTGGCCTGGAACTCGACATCTGAAATGAACATGAAAGTAAAGCAAGAGTAAGGGAAAGCCTGATTTTAAAGATCAGGATCAATGAATACGATCACGTTTCCTTAGGCTGTCACTGAATTTGCATGGTTTTATCGTCTTTTCAAATGAAGTTCTTAAGCAAAACTCACTTGACCCAAAAATCCAATTCATACCTGTAGTAGAGAATCTGTGGAATCTGGCCCCGCGTCTGATTCGTGCCGTTGCTGCTCAGACTACATGTACTGAAAGTAAACGTCACGCCATCTGGGCACTGGACAGTGGTCATTCCTCCATCTCCATTGGCGGTGCGGCTTCCATAGTTCCTCAAACGGACTGCGTATTTCACATTTTCCTTCACAATAAAAGCCAGGAAAGAACACAGAATTAAGAATTATCACTTGGTTCTGCATTCCTGTTCAAATGACTTTTATTCAATATCGCCTAATGCTCAACTATATAATATTTATTATAAACTGCTATATTTACACTTGTGAAATACACTAGAACTGCAGTCTACCAGTTTCTGCTTTTATGCCTGGAAATCTAAAATCATTTGAAAGAAAAAATGGGGTAACAGAGGCTTTTTAAAATGTAAACTTTTTACGCAGACGGTCTGTAAGGTAACTGGATTTTCTGTCTTCAGTTAACCCACACTGCAAAAGCACTTTTCAGATTCATTGAAGAAATAACAGCAAGTTTCACCTACCTTCAGGGGCACAACTTTGTCAAGTTTGATTTCTGCAATATCGCTCAGGGAATCATCTGTGGTATACGTTCCTTTAACCAACTCCAAGGACGTCCATCTGTGAGAGTGAGTTGAATCTCCTGTATGATCACTCTGGATTCAAAGAAGTGAGAGTCAATTCTTTTAACATTCAGGTTGCCCTGTTTACATACTGATAATGTGCACACAATCAAGTCTCAGCAAAACAGTCAATCACAACTCTCTCCATCTGGTCTACTGACCAACAGGGCTTCTAACAACCAAAAGAGAAATAAGAAATAATTCTTTCAGTAAAGTATGCTGCTCTGTTTTATGCCTCCCCCGTTACCCCTTCTTCCAGGACAAGGCAGTCAGTACAAAAAAAACGAATGTCGTTTTGGGAACAAAGTGCTGGTAAGTTACTGGTAAAGAGAATTATTACTATGAAACCTAAAATACACTTCAAAGAGTTTTATGTGGAATTTTGGAACAGTAGCTGTAATGAAGGGAATTCATTACTGTGCGGTGATTAATGAAATTATTTGCCACTTTTATAGACAACACATACGTCATCCACGAGCACTTCCAGTTCATATTCATGGATCCCTCCTCCTCCGTAGACAGAGAACCCTACAACAATGACGCCAGGTTTATCCACAGAGAAGCAGATGGCATCGGGGGACCCGTTCCCAGTATTCCAGCTTCTGCCTTGGCTCGTTTTAGTGAAGCGGTTTGGGCTGGACTTGACAGAATGCAGAGAATTAAGCCCATCAGCCTGGGAAGAAGCATAAGCAGCAGTCAGGATGGAATACATGAAAGAATCCCACGTAATATGATTCTGAATTAGGCATTACTTCTAACAGTAAATGTATAAACTTGGAATTTGGGCACAGCAAACCATGCTATTTTCTGAGTAAATTAAAAATTTTAAAAAATATCAGAAGTGCCCCAACCACACGAACACACTGAAACCCAATTCCAAGCTTCAGGAACCCTGTGGTGTTCCTGAAGATACAGGAGGAGTGCAGCAAGGGTTCCAATCCCTTTCTGCCATGAGCCTCCCGGCCCACCCGGAAGACCTCTCTATGGCTTTCTGAATATGCAGCCGCATTCTACAGTCACTCCACTGGCTGCCCAGTTAAAGGTAACGGTTTCCCTTGCTCGAAAGCCAGCCGGGTCTGACTCTAGGACTGCGGTGCTCATCTCTGTTTCAAAGCCCAAGAGCCAGCGCTGTCCGAAGACGTTTCCGTGGTCATGTGGCCGGCATGACTAAACACCAAGGCGCATGGAACGCTGTTACCTTCCCACCAAAGTGGTACCTATTTATCTACTTGCAATTTCTTGCTTTCGAACTGCTAGGTTGGCAGGAGCTGGAACTAGAGACAGGAGCTCACTCCGTCATACGGCAACTTGGGTCTCAAACTGCTGAACTAGCGACCTTCCACAGCCTGCAGTTCAGCGTCTTAACCACCTGAGCCACCGCAGCTCCACGGCTGCCCAGTTACTGGGCTCAATTTAAGGTAGTGCTTACCGTATACGAAGCCCTTCATGGCCCTGGGTCCTCATATCTGCGAGACGGCCTCTCTCTCCCTATGCACTGCCACAACAGCTTTGCTCATCTGATCAAGGTTTGCAAATGGGCAAAGCCAACAACTGTCCATACGTGTGCCTCCTCCACGGTAGCCCCCACCTTACGCAACAGCTTGCCCGAGGAGGTCAACATGCTAACCCCTCCCACTCTCCTGGGCCTTCCACAAAGTATGCCACAGTGAACGATTCAAAAGAGGTTTTCTACACAAACAATAGAGTTGCACTGGACTAAATGGTTCACAAAGTTACCTAGATAAATTATTAGGGACTGTGGTCTGTTCTATTGTATTCCATTTACTGAAACTAGGATCCTACTATGTAATTTTTGTGTCATTTAATGTGTCAGTTCTGTTTTTAGATTTCTGATTGGTTCTACAACCCTAATCCCAGGGCTATTTTGGGGCAGGAACGGACAGGAACAGAGTTCCGGCTGGCTTCAGAGTTGGCCACGCCCACTACAGCCAAAACCTCTGCGTGCCTGGCTACAAAGGGAAGGCCTGGAGAGCGACACACACCCCCCGGCAACTCTGAGGCGGGCGGGCCGGGGGGGGCCTTGGAAGGATCGGGGAGGCATTTAAAGGCCTCCCCGTGCCTTACCCGGCCTGTCCAAGGGCCAGCTTGCCCGGGCTCCCTGCAGCCGTGGGGCACCCAGGCAAGCCAAGGGAAGACATTTTAAACTGCCTCCCCTCCCCTTCAAGGGCCAGGTTGCCCGGGCTCCCCGCAGCCACAGGGAACCCAGGCAAGTCAAGGGAAGGCAATTTAAACTTCCTTCCCTTCAAGAGGGGGCTTGCCCAGGCTCCCCACAGCCATGGGGCGTCCGGGCAAGCCAAGGGAAGGCATGGGGCGTGGCCTAATATGCTAATGAGCTGTGATGTCAGGGGTGTGGCCTATTATGCTAATGAGTTCCTGCTGGGCTTTTTCTACCAAAACAGCCCTGCCTAATCCTATTCTCCTGTTTACTGAATACCCCATCTTATTGATTGTACTGACTCACTCTATGTAATCAGTCTTGAGTCCAAGTGAGAAAGATGGACTATAAATGACATAAATAGTTAATCATCATCATCATCTCAGATGCCCAAGACTCCAGGAAATATAGTTCTCCTGGGAGCCTGGTTTCTAGTAGCTGGGATACTGGAGTAGCAGTGTTTGTGGCAGAAAGAGCGGTGTTTTTCTCCCCCACTCCAAATAATTTGATGCTGGGGGGGGGAGAGAAAAACACCCCTTTTTCTGCCACAGACACCACTTAAGCAGGGAGATAGTTTTAGGTGGAGGAGAAGAGAAGGAAGCCGTTATCTCCATCTCAGATTACATTCCAAGGTACAGAAGAACCCTCAAGTCATAATGCTCATCTCAGGTTGCAAACAAGACCAAGTTCGTTTAAACAGACAAGCAGACAATTTAAACAAGTAGAGCCAAACCTACGAAGGGGCTATCAAAATGGAGTGGGTCCCACTTCTGTCCCATCACACCACTGAGCAGAGTCTGAAACTCTCCTCCAGCCTGAGGAGGCTTCGCCCTACTTAAGTGGCACTTCAACTGAAAGAAGAGCCATTTAAGTTAGAGGAAGACTCCTTAAGAGTTAAAGAAAGGCTCCTTAGAGAGTGGTTAGATCCACCCCACGAGGTTTTATCCTGCTGTCTCCCCAAGGTGCTCAAGTTCTCTTCCCTTTTCTTCTCTGTTTTATCTTCACAATCACCATACGAGCCACAGTGACCCAGGCTGCTCAGCTACTAAACTTCATGGCTTAATGCGGACTGTAGCACTCCCACCCCTGGCCTTAGCGTAACATGCTAACCATGCCACCACGGAACGAACCACTTTACCTCAGATCCCAGTGCAGAAGCAGTAAGTTCACTCACAATACTCGCAAGTAATCCACAGGTGTTAGAAACCAAATGTGCAGAAAAAAGTTCATTTTCACGCCTGAGGCTGTTTCGCACAGGCAACACCACAATAACTAGCATTTTCTCCAGCACTTCGCGGAAGCTCGTCATGCCCGAAATATTTTCCTCGCTCTGCAAAATGAACTGGCATGTTAGAGGCAAGCTTGCTGGCATGAAGCGAGAAAAGAAATGGAGTCTGATTCACACATGCATTCACTACCTCACACAGAGTGTGTATGTACGCAAAACAAATCAAAAATGAAATCAAAAAGTAGGTCATAGTTTACAAACTGCAGCTTCCTTTTTTGGAACACAACTGCTCAGGTTTAATGAGGGGGAAACCAAATCCATGAACAGAGGGAAAGATGTCACCCAAAAAATTGGCTCTTGGATATCTTTCTACAGACACATTTTTTGTTTCAAAAGGATGCTCTCTCTGATCTCAAGACCTCAAGATCCTGAATACAGGACATGACCTTGAATACAATTTCCACTATATTTATTCAGACCCCAATCATTTGTTACACTGCAGAAGGTTTTTGTTTTTGTTTCCAGACTGGCACTCACCTGACTAAGTTTCTCCATGTGTGCAACCAGCAGAGGGAAGCGGTGGGCCAGTGCAGAGTCATTCTCCGTGCTAACCTGTTTCACCATGGAGCGCAGTAAGACCTCACCATCATAGGCAATAGGGAAGATGGAGGTCAGTTTCACAGAGGTATGGCACAGGGCTGACATTACAGCAGCCAGGAGTCTGCTGCTGGAAGTCTTAAAGTTTGCTTCCTGGATATCCTAACAAGCAAAACAAAGACAGACTTGTCAAAATGACATTGTGGAAGAGTGGTAAAAACGGAAGGATGCATGGCCTCTCATGGTGTACTAAGATGATTTGTTACTACTTCATGAAAGTCCACATTATGTCCAAGAATACCTATATCATCTATTGGCAACTTTCAGTGTCCATGAGCAAATGTTGATGGCAACAAATAAGGTAACAAGCAGACCAACATGGTTTTTACTGATGGTAATGTTTCATCGTCCACTTCTTAAGAAAAATTATAAGGGATCAGAATCCCCCCCCCAATTAAAGGGTTGCTCATGCCCAGTTTCCTTTATGCTACTGGGGAACTCCCCTGGCAATAGTGTGTTGCACACAGGCATTACAACTTGGCCCTCCAGGGGAAAGACTTCTGTTGACTCAGAGGATGTAAGAGACTTCCTGTGTGCTTCCCCACAGCCAAGTACAAACCCTCCAATTATTTGCAAGGGGTGTGTGTGTTAGGTTGGCTGAGCTTCAGGAGTTTGAAAGTGGAGGGCAAGTCAAGGACTGTGGGTGGCAGCGTCAGCAAGAGGCTGAGCTAGAAATGGAGAGCAAGAGGCCACTCAAAGGGTGGGGGGGGGAAGCAGGTGAAGGGGGAAGGCAGAAGACTTGGTCTCTTCCCTTTGTCCCTCATCCCTCCTTCCATAGTTCCTTGGCAGTTCTAAAACAGTAAATAAGACCTTTTTGCAGGGTAGCTTTTGAGATTGGAGTCACATCTGCACCTAGGATTTAGGGTGGTACCTCAGTGAATACTGCAGGCACCCAGTCACTGGAAAGATGCGTATTTACAAGACCCTTTCAAGGGATACAATGGGGGAACCCAGGCCAAGATGCCACACACCAAACAGCGTTTGTGGGTCTGATAGGCAGGACAAAGGGCAGTACTTCTGGATGGTAAAAGAAGCATCATCCAATGTGAGAATGACTCTCTGGTACCTGATCTAAGCAATTTAGCAAGTCACAAAGGCACGCCCACTGCAGAGCTGGAGTTGGATAGAAGGAGTGGAAGCAGGCTGTGAAAGTGTTATGACACTCCTGAAGAACAGCTTCCAGAAGACTCAAAGGCTGAGTGAGATATCCTTGGGGGTCATTATCCAGTTTTATCATACAGTGATCGACTCCTTCGGACAAGATTTTTCTTAGCAGAGTTCTGGTCTTCCCAATGCAGTCAGCCAGCTTGCTAGTTTCATCAACAACAGCTTTAGTTGTAGCTGGAAAGAGATGGGAGAACATTAATGAGACTAATGACGATTGCTAATGATGATTTGGTTAAGAGTTCATAGGAAGAAAAATAAACTTAGACCATGTAGCCTCCAAGAACTTTTTTTCTGAAGACTTGCCTAGGTTTACACAGGCTGACATTCATCACAACACGCTGAATCATCTTTTACAAATGGCTACATGCAAATTTCACACGAATGAAATATTATGGTGATCTATCATATGGCCTCATTTGGAATATTGTGTACCGTTCTGGTCACCGTATCTCCAGAAGGACACTGCAGTGCTGGAAAAAGTACACAGGGCAACCAAGATGATTGGGGGGTGGGGGGGTGGAGCACCTTCCCTATGAGGAAAGGCTGAAGAGTCTGGGACTTTTCCGTTTAGAAAAGAGACAACTAAGGGGGGACATGAGAGAGGTTTATAAAATCATGCACAGGGCAGAGTGGACAAAGCAACATTTTCCTCCCTCTCCCAAAATACTAGAACTCAAGGGCATCCAATGAGGATGACGGGCAGTATGTTCAGGAGAGACAAAAGGAAATACTCATTTACACAGAGAGTGATTAAAATGTGGAAGTTGCTGCCAGAAGGTGTAGTGATGGCCACGGGAATAGACAGCTTTAAAAGGGGACTAGATAGATTCATGGAGGATCAGTCTGTCAATGGCTACTAGCCATGGCAACTGAGGGGAACCTCCACATTCAGAGGCACTAATCCCAGAGCCAAGAAGTGACCTCAGGGGAAGGCCTCGGCCTCTATGCCCTGTCGTCGTCCCTCCAGAAGAACTGGTTGGCCACAGTGTGGACAAGATGGACCACTGGTCTGATCTAGCAGGGCTCTTCTTATGTTTTTATTAGAACTTAGCCTATTACCTGACACCGGGTATATCTCACACGTGTAGACTCGCAGTAGTCTTAAGCAACATGTGCCAACAAACCGCAGCCTTTCCAAGTCCAAAAGCGTGGCTGTATATTGGAAACCTTTCAAGCCGCGAAGTTCTTCTACTCCCAACACTAGGGTTGTCCAGCTCCAGTGAAGAATGCTCAGTAATGATTCAAAGCACTCCTGTTTCAGAAGGATGTAAAAGCAAAACGACAAAAAGGAAAAAATTGTGATGCTTATTTGAAATTATTAATAAATGTAACGGGTCTCAAATTGAGGGACAGGCATCCCTGGGAGCGTGGGTCGTCTAGTTCTAGGGGGGCACTGACTACTTAGTCAGATGCCCTGCCTCCTCCTTAGTGGTGGTGGGGGGGTGTTTGTTGGTATTTTTCATATATGCGTGTGTGTGTGAGAGCTGTGTGTGCATGTGAGTGCACCTGGAAGTCATGGCAACTAACTGACCCCTACTAGGGGCCTGGAGGATATTCAGAGAGGTGGCTGAATAAGGCCTACCCCCCCACACACACCCGACCGCTGGTATTCCAAGGAGGTCTCCCATCCAAGTACTTGCCAGAGCCGACCCTACTAAGCTTCCGAGATCTGATGAGATCGGGCTTGCCTGGTGTAAAGTACTGGGTCCAGACGCGTTGATTGCAAATCAGCTCATAATTTATTAAAGGCAGGAACAAAACTGAGACAAAAAGCTGGCCCCAGGGGGCCCGCTTAAATGCCGGTACGGGCCACACCCCCAACACCCGTGATTGGTTTATTTACAGTGCACCCATAACCATTGGTCCCTATTAGGATACAGACTGACCGATTGGCCCGTTCTAGGATCCTCTGAGTCTACTGTTCTAAGTGGCAAAGCTCTGCCTGTTCGCTTGGCCACGTGCGAGCCCGACCACGTGTGCGGCCCTTAGTTAGTATACAACACCTGGGCTATCCAGAGCAGGGCCCTCTAGTGGTTTGAATGACTCCTGGCACAGGATTTAACTGACTCGCACTACAGTTGTGGAGGCAACAGCATCCCAATTTGGTTTGGAAGGAAGTTCTGGAAGAACAGCTGCTTTTTCCTTACCTCGCGAAACGGAGTAAGCATTTTCTGTGGCGACACCCCGCCTGGTGAAATAACCTATCCAACAAAGTCCAGAAGATGCCCATACTGTTCCGTAAAATAAATGTGTGAAAATGGAACATTTCAAGATGGCATTTCTATGAAAGGTATATTGTTGCGGTGTTGACAGTTTATTAATAGTTTCTACATTGTTATTTTTATTGGCCGGTTTTAGCTTCTTGGGTTCTTTCCCCCATCTAAGATGACCAAAAAATACACAGACAACGGGAATTGCAGCCATTACTCACCACTGACACAGTTCTTGCAAAAGATCGCTTTAAAATGTGCACAGGCTCACTGGTTTGCTGCTTCCCTTTTGATGCACTGCCATCGCTTGTTGGCAGCCTGGTAGAAGAAAAGGAATGAAATACCATCCCATGTTTTTTTCACTCTAAAAGCTAGTTTTACAGAAACAAAACATTTATACACTACATCTCTCTGAAGAACAGTTTAAACTTTCATTTGTAATAAATTTGGCCTCTGAAATTTGTACTCAGTCGACTTCCCAGTCGAAGACCAACACACAGACAGTGCAATGCCATGCAGGGGTATTGCCTGTTGTGACGGACTGCACTTTTTAAAGGCTTAGAAGTGCTGTACGAACAGGTAAAGGACTGTGAATTCCTCACAGAGCCAGAGAGCCTTGAGTGACAGGCTGCTCCAAGAGATCTGACTGGTTAGCATCAGTTGAGCAGAGAAAAATTTCTCAACTGGACACTGAGGAGAATTCAATCTGAGACTAGCCATGACTGAGTTGAGTCCAGTACTTAGCATTCTGAATTTAGCCCTGCAGACAGCAAACTGGGGGAGACTGGCAAGGACGAGTGGGTAGTTTGGTGCAGACTCCCATTGAGGCCAGAAAAGGGGATAGATCTTGCAGAGACAGAAGAATTTCCCCTACCCAGTTAAAACAGGGATATAGCTCTGAAGAGTGGAGAGATATCTGGTCTGGTGTGGTTAGAGACTGCCTTGTGTAATTGTAAGAGTCAATTAAAACTTGAGAAGAGTAGTGGTATGTTTAAAGAAGGGGTTTGGGCACTGGAAAGAGTGTACCAGCTTTCTGGAAACCAAAAGAGTCAGTAAATACTCAAAGAAAGTATACTGGAGTGTTTGGGAAAGACTAGAGCAAAAGCCTCTCATCTTATAGATCCTAAGTCACCGGGAAAAGCTTATGACACTCTTAACAGCCTGAAAAATATGAACAAAAGTCTGTGCATATACTGATATATTTCAAAGTTCTATATTGAGTTACCTGAGATATTTCACCTCAATTTCACCTGACCTTTCTCCTCTATGTTGAATGAAATATTTTGTTAATTTGGAATTTCAAAACACCTTGAGTGTCGTTTAAGTTAAAGGGGGCTCTCGATCCTTCCCTCAGGTTCCTGGGCTGAGCAAACAGCCAAAATATCATACTCTTTGGGTGAAGAAGGACTTCCATTCCAGTCCCACACAGCTGTGAATTTTTGTACGAATTTGGGTGAGCCATCCTCTAGCAGACAAAGTTAGTTCACAAACTGATGGGCAAAAATGAATGATGATCCCACATCACCCTTGCCAGAAGGATACAAATGTAATGATGGATATAGCAAAAAACCCCTGGTTGAGTGGCCCATTCCACCTTCATCAAGGAGGAAATCCTGTTGTGCTGAACACAGGATTCAATCCCTCCCTTCCTCCTCTCTACTGCTTTCTATAAAAGAAGAATTACCTGTATAGTAACTGCGGAATCTGCCCTGCATTAACATCTGTACCATTATTTGATTTCTTAGAACTCTTAAACTGGAAGACAACCCTGAAAGAAAAAAGAGTCACCAGAAAACCGTTTATTTTCCATTTCAAATTCCTACACCCCCACACACACACATACACACACATAAACAAAGTAATACTTTCTGCACAGACGCTTGGGAACCAAAAGAACAAAGTTTGAGTCCAGTGGCACATTTAAGACCAACAGAGTTTAATTCTGCCTATAAGCCTTTGTGTGCATGTAGACTTCTTCAGCGACACTGAAACAAGACTTCCTCAACCATTATATATAGGTGTGGGGGGTGAGTTGCCAGGATGGGCTAATTAGAGTCAAGAAGCATAAGTAACTGAATGATAAGTATAGCTAGGATTGGATTAAAACAGTTGGCAAGACCCGTGAATAGCAGCAAATTAGCATGCAGATAATCAGGGCTATTTTTGGGCAGGAACACACAGGAACGGAGTTCCGGCTGGCTCCCAAGTTGGCCACGCCCAGCAGGAACTCATTAGCATAATAGGCCACACCCAACAGCAGAAACTCATTCGGCTTGGCTACGTTAGGGGTGTGTGGCCTAACATGCAAAGGAGTTCCTGCTACAAAAAAAGGCCCTGAGTTTTGACAACAAACAAGGTAAACAGAATAAGAAGTGAAAGGTGGGTGTGGCTGGATGAGCACACTTCTGGTAACATGGGGGTGTGGCCTAATATGCCAATGAGCTGTGCTGTCAGGGGTGTGGCCTAATAGGCGAATGAGTTTCTGCTGTTGGCCTATTATGTGTGGCCTATTATGCGAATGAGTTCCTGCTGGGCTTTTTCTACAAAAAAAGCCCTGGAGATAATAAAAGAGTTAATAAACAGATGTAAGAACTAAAGTTTGAGTCCAGTGGCACCTTAAAGACCAACAAAGTTTAATTCTGGGTATAAGCGAGAACTGAGTGATGTAGCATGAGTAGTGAGATAAGAACCCAAAGTAATACTCACCCATCATCTGTCGTAATAGAGGCTTGTCCGTGGGACCCACAGTCACTGCTGGGGCCAGATACTCGTGCCCAAGCGACATACCACCAGCCAGCTTGCAACAGAACAGGTTCATCAAACATCATCGCGTATTTTTCCCTGGAAGAAACAGAGAGAAATCTAATCCAATGGTAGTCAAGAAGAAGAAGAAGAGGAAGAGATTGGATTTATACCCCGCCCTTTACTACCCAAAGGTGTCTCAGAGCAACTTACAAACTCCTTTCCCTTCCCCTCCTCACAACAGACACCCTGTGAGGTAGGTGGGGCTGAGAGAGCTCTTGACAGAAGCTGCTCTTTTTCAAGGACAGCTCTTGTCAGAGCTATGGCTTGCCCAAGGTCATCCAGCCAGGTGTAAGTGGAGGAGTGGGGAATCAAACCCGGTTCTCCCAGATTACAGTCCGCGCGCTTAACCACTACACCAAACTGGTTCACTAAGTCAAATCAAAGACATGATGACAATGGCACTGGTTCTCTTTTCATAATGGACGTGGAGCAGGATCCATAAGAGCAACGAGGGGGTGCCCTTCTTTCCCCTTAGATAACTGCTTCATTAGATCTCAGCCTCCAAGCTTCTTAAGAAAGCGCAACAGGAATAAGGAAAAGAATAAGGAAAGAAAAGAACGAGAGGAAGATCTACCCATATGGTAAGCCTTAAGTAATTTGATAATGAGCTGCGGTGGCTCAAGTGGTTAAGACGCTGAACTGCAGGCTGTGGAAGGTCAGTAGTTCAGCAGTTCGAGACCCGGGTGCCGCATGATGGAGTGAGCTCCCATCTCTAGTTCCAGCTCCTGCCAACCTAGCAGTTCGAAAGCAAGAAATTGCAAGTAGATAAATAGGGACCACTTTGGTGGGAAGGTAACAGCGTTCCATGCGCCTTGTGTTTAGTCATGCCGGCCACATGACCACGGAAACGTCTTCGGACAGCGCTGGCTCTTCGGCTTTGAAACGGAGATGAGCACCGCAACCCTAGAGTCGGATTCGACTGGCTTTCGAGCAAGGGAACCTTTACCTTTTAAGTAATCTGACATCTTGAAACTCTCTGCACTGACTGGCATTTTATATTCCTTCTCGAAGGAATATTTAGTGCATCACCTATCAACCAAAGTTAGGCTCACTATTATATGCTTAAAATTATTTGGCAAAAGTAACGGCTCCCTACACAAGCTAAAGGCAGGGGTTGTTTGTTTTTGCTTTTTTTGTTTTTTACCTTGCAGCGCAATCGTAAGCCAAGACATCAGTTTCTGCAAGGAGGTCACCATCCGTCTCATGATCACCTCCATCCGGACCCAATTCAAACAACTGAAAAGAGACGCCTTTAAGAGTTTTACTTTCCTGCCTTACTTGTAATGTCATTTTACCCACCCACCCCTTCCGAGCCAGGGCAGATTATTAATGAAGCATAAGCACAGTTAAACAGAGCTCAAACTGTTCAACAATGGAGGACCATCAGGACAAACAGCACGGCAAAAACCTTTATAAGACAATCCCATCGAGCCATAGATCACCAAGCACACGGGAGGAAAAGTGATCTTTAACAAAAGCTCACGGCAGCGGTGGCGGAAGAATATTTCTAATAAGGGACACTGCATGGTTTTTAACACTGCAGGCCTACGCGGCTTTTGACTCACTGAGGCAAACACAGTACACCTGTCATGGATAGTCACCCGCCCAGGGCTTTTCGATCCTCCATTTGTACAGCCCAAAGCAGGCGACAGAGACAACAGGCTTAATAAGCCTCCAGAGGGGGCTTTTATGCAGGCCCGCAATAGTGCAAGAAACAAGCAATGACTGCAATCCGTAAAAATTTAAATTCAGGACACTACTATGTTTGTGCAGCTCAACTCCACTCATATGCTCAGCATAGTCAGTTCCAGTTGCCTCCGTCAGGGAGAAAGGAGGTCCATCTAGATTGTGTGTGGGCTAATAAAGGACTGCAAGTTTCACTGGATGCAGATTTTGGATTCAACAGCCTTTTGTGGTCTCAGCAGCTCTAACATGTGCACAAATTTATTCCACACAGAGACAATATGGGTGTGTGGGTGTATTAAATGTGGAGCTTTTTAAAAAATCATGATTCAAAATGTTAAAATTTCATATCTAACATATGGCTTAATTACTACTTTGTCTTTGAAAAGAGGAGAATATAGGATATGTGTATTGCCTTTTCAACTCAAAATGTTAAAATTTCATATCTAACATATGGCCTAGTTACTACTTTGTCTTTGACAAGAGGAGAATATAGGATATGTGTATTGCCTTTTCAAGTCTTAACTAAGACAGAAAAATTCTAACATATGGCCTAGTTACTACTTTGTCTTTGACAAGAGGAGAATATAGGATATGTGTATTGCCTTTTCAAGTCTTAACTAAGACAGAAAAATTGAAGTTGTCAAAAACCACCCATCATATTTATATTTGAAGTCAGATATAAAACGTGTCCTCTCCCCCACAACTTGCAGCCAACGCTTTGCCTTCTCAACAGCATTTGGTAAGGATTAAAATATGGAGTTACTTAATGTCTACATTATACTGTCATCTTTGAAACATATGAATTTCATGGCATACCCCAATATTAAGCATATATCATTGTTGCATCAATGTTTTAAAAAGTATATTTTATGCACATACTTAGGAGTAACGTGCTAGGTATTTATATATTCCTAAACTAATAAACAGCAGTAGTTAAAACAGATGTTTCTACCGTTCTCAAGTTTGCTTTTTAAAAAAATACAGTAACACATACACACAAATTTCCTCCATTGCGTGACAAAGCCTAAAATATTCACCTCTACATCTGCCTTCCCCTCATTTTACGATTTAACACTCCAACCTCAGATCGAGGTAATGTGCCCCAAAATATTCCTTTTCTTACCTTTATTTTAGCAGTGTATTCACCTCTACCCCCAAACAGTCCAAGACCACCAAGCAAAATGTCAGTATCCGCACAGAAGCGGATGGCTTCCACGGAGTGAGCTGAATAGCCCCAGCCTCCACCATGACCTGAAAGGGGGGGAAAATGTTGCAAATGTTTATGAAAGATGCTTCATGCACCACGTAGGGGTTGGAAATAGGAAAAAAATCTGTATCTGATAGATACTTTCAAATCTGTTGACAATACTGTAGTCTTCTTTGGAATAGACTTTCATCACAGCTTGAGTTTCTTCTTCTGTGTTTGCAACACCCATTTTTAAATCCTGCATAGCAGCCAAGGTATCAAGGCAACCTAAAACAAACAAACAAAAGGAGGAACTGGGTATCGATTATGGAAAATGAGGTATTGTTGAGCATCTTGTTCTTTTATCCAAAAATGTACAGTTAAGAATAATAGTAGAAGTCAAGTAGATAAAACGTCCATGACAGACCTCTGATTAATATTGCTTTTAAACACTCAGAAGAGACATAAGAACATAAGAAGAGCCCTGTTGGATCAGGCCAAAGGTCCATCAAGACCAGCATTTTGTTCACACGATGGCCAGCCAGCTGCCTCTAGGAAGTCACATGCAGGATCACAGCAGCCGCATCTGCCTGCCCATGCTCCCCAACAACTGATACAGAGAGTCATACTGCCTCTGGTGGTGGAGGGAGTAGATATCCACGACTTGTAGCCATTGACAGAGCCATCATCCATGAATTTGTTCATAAAAAATATAATCATTTCAAAAGATGACAACACAAAATATTGCCTCATGACAGCCATATCAATCAGGTTGACCAGGGAATGAGTGAGAGGGGAAAGCACACCAAGTTTAAGCAAAAACATCTGCCACAAATCTGCAGGTGCTCTGCAGAATACCCTAGCACTCCTGGAGAGGACTGGTAAACTGGATTAGGTTATTTTATACCTGTCCCATCTCCGGCAATAAGCCCAACATAAAAGGATTCTCTGAGTCACTGACAGCACCTCCTGGGAAATTTAACTGAGAGCAAAGGATTCAGAGGATCAATGACAGTGATTACGTCATCTGCGAGTTCCACACAGTGGTTACCAAACTGGCTTTCAGGCATTCCAGTCTGTTCCCTAACAATCGCAGAACGCATTCTCAGCCGCTTAACCAAACAATAAGGCACCATTGTGGATTTTTAAAGGGCCTGATAGAATTAATGATGTTCCCGAAGTTGGACAGTTAGATTAGATCCAGTAGCGCCTTGGTGGCCAACAAGAGTTTCGGAGTATAAGCTTCCATGAGTCAAGGGTCTCTTCGAAAGCTCACACCCTGAAACTCCCGTTGGTCTCGAAGGTGCCACTGGGCTTGAAACTAGCTGTTCCGCTGCAGACTGATGTGGCTACCCACTGAAACTAGAGCTGGAATACAGGCCAAGGGAGTAGGACTTGGAGTTAAATGCGGAGCAAGTATTACAGCCCAAATTCTTTTCCAACTGATGTTCTAATCCAAGCCAACTCCTCCTTCCCACCCACCTGGATGCTGAAAAACAGCAGCAGGAAAACAGGTCTCCCGCTTCTCCCCAGCACTTGGAAGGCTGCTATGATGGCAACGGGGGTGCTGGGAGCCGTAGGAAACATACTTGCGCCCAGGTTACTGTTCTAGCAGCATTATGTGCTGGGGGAATGGAAAGAAGAGGAGAGACAGCAACTCCCTCTCTCTGTTTTGAGAGAAGCTTCCACTTGAATTTAAATGTCATCAGGCATGCGACAGGATCTGATTTGATTCTGTAACTGTCTCAGAATATAAACCAAGCTGTTCCTTCAATTAGGGGGAAATGGCTTGTATGCTGCCCCTTTGTTCAGCAATGATTAAAGCCATCCTCCAGCCTAAGGAGTCTTCCACCAGTGGAAGAGCCAATTAAAATGGGAGGAAAGCTCCTTAGGCTGAAAGAAGGCTTCAAAGGATACAAGCCAGGAAGTCAGTTTCTCAAGCACAATTATGGATCAAACTACTGGGGCCATAAGATCTCAACTGCCACCAATCAGAATAGACGTGAATCAGAACACAGATTGACTTAAATGGACTGGGTAATTCTTTAGAGAACACAGATAAAGAAATGTGCTGCCATTCATCATTCAAAGCCTTTAATAAATATATCAGACCAATCCCCCCCCCATTTTGTTAGGAAAAGAACTGCTTTTCGAGACGTAATTGATACCTAGAATGTGCAAAGCTGCGTGTGATCTTGTTGTAAGAGCTTTGGACCCTGGCGGAAGAGCAAGTTCTGGACTCAGGATACTACAACGTAATTGCATGTCTGGAGCGGAGGGAAGTCTGGAATCAGCCACAACTGCATTGTAACTCCACAGCTCTCTTGTATTTGGTCGAAACCTGAAAAAACGATGTACAATTTTACCATAACAGATTTTGGGACAACAGCGATGCAACAGGCATTTCTTCAGACTGATTGGTACAGCATGAACAATGAGCACATTAAGTTTTATTCCGTCTCTGTGCAGTTAAGGGAGACGGCTGCAGAAGTCTGGGGAAGCAAAGGCACACCTTTCCTGCGATGGGAGAATCTCAAAGTGGCAGCTGCTCACACTCGGTAATCCTTGGCGTAGGGTGGGAATTTCCTTTGGACACAAAAACTGCAGTCCCTGGCACATTTGGCAGACAGCAAGCCCCACTTTACTCATGAAGCCTTACTCCAGAGTAAATATGCATGGGATTGGGCTAGCTTGAAGGCCCCTGACAAATCACTGCCCACACTTGTATGGGCACAGCTGCTACAACAAAAGATGTGTACTGCTCTCTATGAGGTACCAGAACAATGTCTGAGTCCAGTGGCACCTTTGAGACCAACAAACTTTTATTCAAAGTGTAAGCTTTTGTGTGCAAAACACCCGTCTTCAGACAAGAGGTACTGAATGCCTTCACCTCGCAACATGCTGTTCCTCTACCTTGCAACATGCTGTTCCTCTACCTTGCAACATGCTGTTACATACAAAAAGGGAGCGCTTCAATTCCAGCTTCTCAAGACTGTGCCCCATTTGACCTCCTATTCTCAGGCTCCCCTTTTAACCCTGATGCCCATTCTTTCCTATTCTGTTCTCTCTCGTTATTCTCTTTATCCCTTCATAATGTGTTATCTTCTTCCTTCTCCGCTTCTTGTGCTCAACTACGTCTTCCATAAGAACATAAGAGATGCCAATGTTAGATCAGGCCAAAGGCCCATCCAGTCCAACACTCTGTATCACACAGTGGCCAGAAATACCAGGTGCCATCAGGAGGTCCAGCAGTGGGGCCAGGACATTAGAAGCCCTCCCATTGTTGACCCCCCCCCCAAGCACCAAGAAGCCAGAGCATCCCTTGCCCCAGAGCCCCTATCTATACCTTGTGGCTAATAGCCACTGATGGACCTCTGCTCCATATGCTTATCTAATTCCCTCTTGAAGCCGTCCATGCTTGTAGCTGCCACCACTTCCTGTGGCAGTGAATTCCAAGTGTTAATCACTCTTTGGGTGAAGAAGTACTTCCTCTTATCCGTTCTAACCCGACCGCTCAGCAATTTCATGGAGTGCCCACGAGTTCTTGTATTGTGAGATTGTCCCTTTTTCTTTCAGCAACCCTCCTGGTGTGATTTCCCGAAACAACAAATACACACACACTATATTTTTACCCAACACTTCCTTCAAACAGCTGAACATAGCACTCTTCCCCATTTTATCCTCACAACAAACACGTGAAGCAAGCAAGGGTGGGAGCATACAGAAAGTGGCCCAGGGTCATCCAGCAAGCTGCCATGGCAGTCTGGGGACTCGACACACTGTCACTCAGATACCAGTTCAATCCCCTCATCACTTCACTAGTTCTACATTTAATTCATAACTGTGAGGGCCAAGAACTAATTTTTAAAAGTTTGAGAAAGCAAGATTTACCATTCTAATTTTTTTTTTTAAATCCAACTCCCAGGGAAGGATCTATTCAGAATTCATGACACTGTCATTTGAAAGCTGTCCCCATTCTGCAAACAACGTTTGGTTCATTCCAACACCTATTCCCAACCCATACGTACCTCCAAACGACATCATAAACAGGATCTAAACACACACCAAATCCTTGAAGATCCTCTTGTTCGGAATCATTAAATGTCTTACAACTTCCATCGACTTTATTTATCAAGAGACATTTAAATGGAGGAGGCTCAGATATAGAAGAAGGTACCAGGCCTGGGGGGGGGGATAAGCCAAAGTGACATGTTTACTCTTCAATCATTACTGAAAATGATGATAATGCAGAGATCTAGAAAGCATATGAGGGATCTGGTTCAAGGAGGACACTGCAGCAGCATGCAGTTGAGGGAACTGGTTTGTTTCAATTATAATTAAAGAGGAAATGAACCTTGCCTATTATATGTCTGCTGGCAAAGATCTCTGACGTAGCAAGCACATGAGAGTTGATCAGAGCTTCATCAATGCGAAGGAAGGTCTGGTCGCCGCTGGCTCCAATCCACGTAGCCTTCCGCCCGTACTTGGATCCTATGTTAGGCATGGGTGCCGGTTTTGCATTCCAGTAAGGAATATCCAAAATGGGCCTGCCAAGTTGCCCTTTCTGAAGATGCAAGTTAGAAATTCAAGCAGTGAATGAGAATTGGAAAACATCCTCGGTGTTGCCAAAATCAGTTGTGGCACTTGGATAAACGTAAAACAAGGGGTTGTGTTAACAGACATTGTTTACACTTTCTATGTTTCCACAAACCTACTGCGTCTCAGTTGAACAAATATCGAAGACCTGCACACTAGATAACCGGTGTTCTTAGGATATAGATTAAAATTCACTGACCTGGATGACTCAGGCTAACCCAATCTAATCAGATCTTGGAAGCTAAGCGGGGTTAGCCCTGTTTAGTACTTAGGTAGGAGACCACTGAGAAAGTCCAGGGTTGTTACGCTGAGACAGGCCATGGCAAACCACCTTTGAACGTCTCTTGCCTTGAAAACCCTACAGGGGTCACCATAAGTCTGCGGCGACTTGATGGTACTTTCCACAACCATCTGATAAAAATGTTAGTTAGTAATTGCTAATCGGTCTTGACCTAGAATGGGTTGACGTTAATAAGTTAATATGGAATCTGTCCAGATCAGACCTGAACCAACATACTGAAGTTTAGCCCAATTAGGTTGGAGAGCGCTCTGCTTCTCAGTGAACCCGTCACCAACACCTGTCAGCCAGTCCGACCCTTCTCCCATACAAATGTACACGGCTTTGGCAATGCGGGAGAGTGATGAGGTGGGCTTCCGTGACAGCCCATGGAGACCCTGTCATGACCATGGGAACAACTTTACACATAACTCCTGATGGTTCTGAAGGCAGCACACACTAACCCCCTAAGGAAGAACAGAAGTCCCCACAGGATGCTACTACAATGCTACTACAACCAAGTAACCTTAGGCAGAGAAGAAGGTGGCCTCCGTTGGGAGGAACCATGGCAAGCTATGTCCAACTTCAGTAAGATTCATGTTCACTTAACACACTTTTTGGGAGTTTGCAGCATCACTAATTTTAATGCTATCCTGCCTTAACTACTGCAGATTTAATAAATACAAAGTACAACATATGAAACAAGCAGTTTGTTCTTTTTAATAAAAGAAAAATCTTACAGAGAAGCTTCCAAACGTGAAGACTTGCCCATCCATTAACAGAATTGCTGTATGGTTGCTGCCAGCAGTAACTTGTGTGCTAGGTCCAGGTAATGCCTGTACCAGAGTGGGACATCCCCTAGGTCAGAGAAAACCACTTGTGCATCCATTCTTACTGGATTTTTAATGCTCCATCAGAAACATGCAATCCATATATATCATATATGATAAGAAGAATGAATGTGTTGTACAGTTAAATCATGAACATGTAATTGTCAACACCATATTGAGCTCCGCTTGCAGTGAATAAAAGGTTTAAGCCATTATAAGATAGGACTGCACAATTCAGGGGTTTGAATGCTGCTTTAATATTTGTATAATATTCCAGTTGTGAGGAATACCATCATGCTTTTGATTGATTGATTTCCCCATACCTATGACTGGTCCAGTTGCATTGGTACACATTAACAGTTGGCATGCACACAACCCACGACTCAACAACAATGTACACCAGGTGGTTCTTAAGGTAATTTTTATCCACTAGGGTATTTTATCCTTAGCAATGTGTAAAACTATTTTTATCTGGTCTATGACTGCTATAATAAACTTCTGTTCTGTTCTATCCACTAGGGTACTTGAAGCAATATTAACAAACACTTTTGATTCAACAGCCTGTCACCACACACTTTTCTGCCTCCAAACCTCTGCCATCAAAAGAACAGTGTACATCCTTCAGGTATGTAAATCTCAGAAGCACAGAAGCAGCTATCCTAGTTATTACTGACAATGATGACAGTGTTCCCTTAAACCTTTGCTGCCGCCGACATAGCTGCAAAAATGAGTGAAGTCACCTCATTATCATCTAAGACTTTTGCCTAAGAGTCAAATAAGAAATCAATTGAGGTGGTTCATTTTGGTTCTGTTTAAGACACTACCATGAAGATTCTGCTAGTCGCCCTAACAAGAACACACATGAAGCTGCTTTATACTGAATCAGACCCTGGGTCCAGCAAAGCCAGTATTGCCTACTCAGACTGGCAGCGGCTCTCCAGGATCTTATGCAGACGTCGTTCACATCACCTACTGCCTGTTCCTTCTAACTGGAGATGCTGGGGGTTGGACTTGGGACCACCAAGCCACAGCCCCTTCCCAGAATGAACACTCATGTATCTGCTGCTATGAAGGCCACTACTAAAAAAGAAGGCTAAAGGGATTTATCTCACTTGAAATGGAATATGGCCAGGGTCCAGCCTACCTAAGGGACCGCCTCTCCCCCGCATGTTCCCCCAAGGGCACTACGGTCGGGGACCCAAAATCTCCTGGATATTCCAGGCCCCAGGAACATCAAACTCGCCGTGACCAGGGCCAGGGCGTTTTCGGTGGCGGCTCCTACCTGGTGGAATGAGCTCCCAGAAGAGATCCGGGCCCTGCGGGACCTTGGGCAGTTCCGCAGGGCCTGTAAAACGGAGCTCTTCCGCCAGGCTTTCGAGTAGGAGCCGCCGCCACCATTATTCCACCAACGCTTTTTCCATCACCGCACTCTTACCACCGCTAGTGCGGGTACCATCGGGGGTGCGAGACGTACCTGGCGGATGATAGGGCTGCGGGGACATATATATGGTTGTGGGATTGATATACAGCTGTAGAACACCATCTTGATTTATGAATCGGAGCGAGTAGTGGAGCACCGATATTTTATTGATTGTATTATGTTGTATATTGTATTGTATTTTTATACTGTTCTTATTGTTTTATTAGGCATTTATGCCCTTGTTAGCCGCCCTGAGCCTTCGGGGAGGGTGGGATACAAATCTAAAAAATAACAAATAAATAAATATAATTTGGATTTATTCTGAAGCACAGGCATGCCCTAGAGTACTGGTATTTATCCAATGCAACTTAACCTAGTATGCTGATTCCACTTACATATGTTTGCTGTGTATATATCACTCAGGGAGGGGCTGTGGCTCAGTGGTAGAGCATCTGCTTGGCACACAGAATGTCCCAGGTTCAATCCCCAGCATCTCCAGTTAAAAGATCTGGCAGTAGGTGATGTGAAAGACCTCTGTCTGAGACCTTGGAGAGTTCCCATCCTAACCCTCCAGAAGCTCTCTTGAAACAGAAATCACGTCTTATTTAAAGAGAGTTAGGCCAGCTTAAGAAGATTATTTTCCCCTAGTTCTTGCAAACAGATGAACAAAGATGGAATTATTCCATTTAAACTACACACATTTAATATTAAAGTATCAACATACCTGGAATTAACATCTCCATGTCCAAGCTGCCCGTGTTGCCCGTATCCAAATGTATAAACATCGCCGTTCTCCATCAGGACAACTAAGGGTTAAAATGTGGCATGCTTCAGTTTATGGTTTTTATAAGACTTCACAAAAGGAAGTTCATTCTGATGAAGAATAATGTGCTACCTTCTTTGACCAGAGGCACCAAGTATCATATTAAGGGCTCCAGTTATGTGTTTTCCTTACTATATAAGTACGACAAGGCTTCCCAAAAGCTTTTAGCACAGGAAGTTTAAATGACACAACAACACATACAATAAAAAGATAAGTCATAAGGTATTAGTATGTTAACGCTATAATTCTTTACCGGAATGGTGAAACCCGCAGCTGACTTGTACTGCTCGGAGTTCACAGTCGAAGCGGACAGCCCCAGGTGGATAGGTTGTGATTTTGCTAGTATCCTTCTCACTCCTATCTCCACTTCCATCTACAAATGTAATTTATAATTATACCTCTTTGCATTAGTCAATGTGTTTCACAGTAACTAATCATGATCGGATTAGGCTGAGGGAACAGGAGATTACTAACAGAAATAAGATATTTAAAAAGTGGATGTCAAAACTAGTAGTAGGTGAAAAAATTGAGGAGACAGATCTTCAATGACAAACTGATATTCTGCTAAAATGAAATTTCTTGACAGAAAAGGACCATTCAGCCAGTTTGTAACAATCAGTGTTTCTTTAGCTTTAATTCAGCAGTGTTAATATATACAAAGTTTTCCAACATACACAGAAAGAAAATAAGGGCAATTGTTAAGAATCTTAATTTGCATGCAAATTGTATTTTATATGTTGGCTAAAGTTGTTTTTCTAAAATATATGTAAGAGAGAAGATGGATATGTCAGCCTACTTCTTCTGTTTGGCAAATTCTACAGTTTACAAAGAAAGCTGTAGACAACATATTAAAGCTGTAGAAAGACCTTTTGCTATCTGTTCATACGGCTTGTGCCGCACCAAGTTCACACACTCCATAAATCTTTTTTCTAAACAAATGAGTAGCATCATTAGTTGCAATAAACATCTGCTTTCTAGAATGAGCATACTAATCCACAGTACTGCAGAACATCAATTTTAAAAAGTGCTTATATCCATTTTAACTATTAGATCTTTTTCGAAGCATAAAATTTAAAACGGAGGATACACTTCCATGCTTTCCAAGGTCGGGGGTGGGGGTGCCCGATGTTTCCCATTGAGACAGTTAACAGTTCTTCCCCCTCCCCTCTCATGATTTCTTTTACCCAAAATATTCCTGCCACTGTTCCAGAGACTAACACAGTTAGTGCAAAAATGGGCTGAATTATGACAAACCCAATGTTGAGTTAAATATTGGTAAATATTAGAGCCATGTTTGTTTATTGCAGTGAAAACCTGAAATATGAATAGGTATTTTCTTTTAGCAAAAGTTTTTGTGGATAAACTCAGTTGCAGATGAAGCAGTGGGCATTAACCCCCAAAAGTTTAAACCTTTGTACTTGTAAGCTAAGGTCTGTAAGTACAAAGCTAAGGTCTGTAAGTACAAAGGGTCATGGCATAGGCCAATCTGGTCAAATCTTGAAGCTAAGCAAGGAGCTTGTGAGACCACCAAGGAAGGGTCTGCAGAGGAAGGCAATGGCAAACCACCTCTCCTGCTCACTTGCCTTGAAAGCCTCTTGTTGGGGTTGCCATAAGTTGGCTGCAACTGGGCAGCACTTTATACACAAAACACACGCACACACACTTGTAAGTGCTTGGTACGTATTAGTCTTTAAAGTACCATAAGAGTCTCACCTATAAATTTTTGCAGGTATACCAATACATATAACAGATTCTGAGCACAAAAATTAGGGGCGGAATAACTGGAGCTTTGTGACACAACATACTCAAGCTCTGAAGATCTCGGAAATAGTAGGGAACATTTAACAAAGTGAATTAAAATCCAAAGCTCAACTCGAATATCCTGTTTATGAACATAAATTCCATGCTTTCACAGGGATATGGGTAAACGGTGTTTAATTGAATGATGAAGGCAGCCAAAAGAAATGTCTAGTCATGAAAAGGTAGTACAGCCAAATTAATAAAGTTCACCAAGGGTGGCTTGACGTACTGCCTCAGTTTCTTAAATCCCATCACAAATGCTTTCAGTCTTGATAAATTCCGAAAAATAAGGCAGAAATGGCTTCCAATGTTCTTTTTGTTCAGACCACATAGTCCCCTTAATTGTCTGAACCGTGCAATGAGAGATCAGAATTGCAACAGCCTGCCTCTCATCCCATGTAACAATCTTATTATTTGAACTCCTCTATTCTGTACTGCATACAAGCAAGTAGCTAGTAGGGATGGATGGGCTATGGCAACCCCAATTTCCTGTATACTTGGAAGGTCTGTAAAGGGCCAGTGCAATACCCCAGTATTCTGCAAAAGCAAAAGAGCCAGGCTTATAGAATCATACAGTAATATTTAAGAGGTCAAGCTTTTGGGAAGGAGAATAGAGTAAGTTCTCTCTCAAAGGGCATGAACCTGGTTAAGTGTCAGACTGGCATTCTCCCTCCCTTCCTCTCTTGTGTGGAGCAGTATATAATAGCCCCAATTTGTCCACACCCATTCAAATGTCACAACTAACCTGAGTTGGTTGAAGACTTTGTCTTCAATCCTGGCACGGTGCACAAGGAGGAGGCAACATCAGAGCCAGGAGACAACCTCACGGGAAGGCCTCACCTTCTATGCCCTGTCGTTGTCCCTCCAGAGGAACTGGCTGGCCACTGTGCAAGACAAGAGGCTGAACTGGTCTGATCCAGCAGGGCTCTTCTTATGCTCTTATGATGAATGAGGGAGAGCATAAGACTCAAATTTAACCAGGTTCATGTCTGCCACACACATGATTTCTGACTGCAGCCTAAGAAACCTGTTCTAGGTGCATGGGACTTTTCCCAAGTGATGACTCTGTTGGCCTGGGCAACAGGTAAAAGTCAGGAGAAGATTCAGATACAATATAAAAAGAAGAACAGATAGGAATGGTTTGAGGGGGACTATATATTACTAGCATTATATTAGAAGCATGCCTGCAATTTAGAAGTCCACAATGTTATGACCCAGTGACAGGAGAACAAATCTTTTCTCTCTCTCAAGGTGAAATAAAAAGAGCACAGGCAATAAGAGTCTCTCAGCAGAACCCAAAGGAGACAGTGCTGCAAAAGTTCTACCTTTATCAAGACCAAAGCCGCAAATGATGAGTTGGTGGACTGATGCATGGGAAGCTGTGTCATAGGTCACAGCAATACACGAGTGGCATCCCGTCAACATTATTATTTTTAAAAAGCCGAGCTTTAAAATGAAAGAACAACCAGAGGATATTCCTCTGTATCAAAGTTAGAAATCTTTCTAGTTAGTCCTGTTATCCCCCCAAAACTGGCAAGAGTAAGGGCTTGCTTGATACAAGGAGAAGAGTCCAGAATGCACAGTAAAAGGGCTCAAGGAATAGATGGTTTTGTTCTGCACACTCAGCAAGCATGATTTCCAACGTTCATCTACCCAGACCCATGTTAATATGTCCTTCAGGAACTGAATGTTTTCTGGTAATAATCAGGGGTCATTTCGTAGAAAAAGAGCTAGGGGAACTCATTAGCATAACTCATTAGCATATGCCACACCCCCTGACATCAGGGGCCCGGCGGTGGACCTGCAAGGCCAGCGGGAGTGTGAGGAAGCCCCGCCAAGGCCCTCCCTGGCCCCAGGCAGGCAGGGGTGGGGAGAGGCAGGGAGGAAGCAACTTACCCTCCCTCTTCTCCTGCCTCCTCCCGGCTGAATGAGGGCTGGAAGCGGGGCAGCCGGAAGCAGGGGGCGGGGCTTCATCATGTGCCCCGCCCCCTGCACCTCACCCAGGGGAACTGCGTTCCCCCCCGAAATGACCTCTGGCAATAATCAAAAAGAGGGAGATTGGGGGGAGGCAGGCTCTGTGTTGGACTTGGATACAAAAGACTAGGCTCAAAGATATGGATTCAGCCATGAGGTATGCTGGGTAGGCCAGGCTTCTCACAAACAACTACTGTGAGGGCAACAAAGGATAACCTCACATACAGTGCACTGAACTCTTCAGAGGGAAGCTGAATTAGGATGATAATAAATAGACAAACTTAAAGATGTTATCAAAAGGATGTTACTGTGATAGGAACTGATCAGCCATTTCACATGTACAATTTTAAGTCATGTAAAAGACAGGAACTAAGAAACAGCTGGCTCTGAAGCCATCTCCTTGAAGCCCCGTTGAACCAACCATTGAACCAAATGGTCCGAGGCTTGCCAATGTTATGTAGCATAGCCTTAGAGCTAAGCACAATATCAACCCCGGTCTTGTGCTTATTAACAGAGAAAGAAAATTGGGTTATCTGTATACAAATTAGGGGTTATAATACTCCAGGAACTGACCAGAATATGCAAAAATGAATGTCATAAAATGACATCCCCGTCCACAAAATATCCCACTGGGCATGCTCCAGGAGCAAGGAAATGTTGAGCGCAGCTGACCTTTCAGAAGGCAGGGGGGAGAGGGAGTTAGTGTGCTTAAGCTGATACTACCCCAGAAGATGAGACTAGAGGGTGCTGAGATGCATGCCGCACTCCCCCCGGCCCCCCTCCCAAAAAAAACCAGGTCCAAAATATTTTAAAGGGATCTGACAACTATGAGGACAAGAATTTACAGGTAGTGAAAATGAATCAGGACTGAAAGTTTCGTATGACTCCCTATTAACTGTCTGCTCCCAGCCCTTCAAGCTGCTCCAGTGGCCGAGCCCTCAATAATTATATTATCCTACAACAGGGGGCAAAATTAGTGTTTAGGGACACATACCCAGACACATGCTTTCCCCAGCCACCCTCCCTCAAATTCTCCCACAGACCAAACAGGTTAAAATTATCCTTGTGCTGTAACCACTCAGGTTCACCGTGCCTCCAACCTTAGTAGTCAGGACAAAATGCCCGACAGTGCTAAACTGCGGAGGTTTAGGACTAGGAGAGCAAGACGCTACTTATCCAGCCCCAGCACACAGCCAGGCTGTTCGGGGGAATCTCTGAATTGTTTAATTCTATCAAAAACAGTGCAGATTACAATATAGAAGTCTCGCACAACAATACCAAACTTTGTAATTTAATTGTTTCCAGTTTCTTCAGACTAACTACAGAAAAGATAAAATCCTGAAACATTCATACATGTGGAACAGATTTATGAAAAGTATAGCATACCAAAGTCTATAAGCTGGCCCATATATTACCGCTAACTAGCAATTTGTATTTTTTCCATTATAAACACAAAACCATTTATACTGAAATAGATTTAAACCTAATTTGTGCCCTTTGCATGTTTTGAAGAAAGTGGCATAGTTATAGTTAACAATCAAATCGAATTACTTGGTTTAATTGTGTAGCTCTCATGTTTTAAAATAGAAAAAGTGCTAATGTTCATGTTTGCCAGGAAGCTTTACAACTTGCTATGTCTTATGGTATTCTGTTTCTCAACTCCTACAGATTTTAGGTCACTTCTTCTGTATATTCAATATAATAGAGATACAGTGCAGAAAAATTCAAACTCATAATTTCTTTGAAGAACACGATTCCAGAACAGCCCATTTGAGATAATTCTGAGTCTCAGTTACTGCCATCCTCAGCTTTCCAGATGTAAAACTAGACAGCTTTTCTCTTAGCAGTTTCCCTACTTTACTCAAAAAGGTAAAAAAATGCTCTTCCTGCACTTTGGAATAATTCACAACTGAAGATTCACAAAACTACTGATACACACCACCACTTTTCTATTTTGTCCATGATGGGCCATGCACCCTCTCGTGTTTCCATCACGCTTACTCCTAAGTGACAGCACACAAACGTTCGAAAACCAAAGGGAGAGTAGGCGATAAACCCTTTCTTGCTCGCTGTCATAAGCAAAACTAGGTCTGACACAGGGTGGAGTCACGCCCCTGCCTGTTTGGCACCGTCACCATCCAGGGCACTGTCAGACCAAGGACATCATGCTGCCATTTGCAAGGAACAGCAATAGCTATGTAAGGAACGGTGCAGCCCCTCCATTCTGTCAACATGCAGCTGCACCGCCGCTCAGGAGGTTGAGCAGTCAGTGGCAAATGGAAGTGCTTATAAAGACAGGAGCCGCTCGGGAGGTCGAGCAGCCAGTGGCAAATGGAAGTGCTTATAAAGACAGGAGCCAGCAGCAGCAAGGATTGGCAGGCTACAGCTAATGCTAGGCCACCCTATTCTTCTCACCACGGGTGGCTGAGGATAGCAGAGGAGAGGCCCAGAAGACTCAGATCCTGGTTTCTGCAATCTGAGGATGAGCAATTATGTCCGAGACAACTTGTCAGGGGTCAGTACTGGCCCATTGGCAACGGCCTGTCAGTGCCAACCCTGAAAACAGACCCTTAATTCAACCTCCAGGTCCCTTATTTAGACTGCAGAACATTCAAAAAGTGGTGGAGAGCTGTCTTACCTTACAAGAAAGAGGCTTCACTAAAAGATTCCTAAAGTTATTAGATCAAAAGGGTCATGAAGTGCAAGAGTTCAGTGATAGTTCTATACGATTACCTACCAGTAGTATTGGCAGTGACGGCCTTCCTAGCTTTGTCAAACTAATTTATGACCTCTAATGGGTGAGAAAAACCAATTCAGACCTAGATGAATAATTCAGCAATTTCACACTGAACCTCCTTTTGCCATTTTTTGTCGGATTTGTGCCCATTTATTCTTTTGCACTTAGATTACCCAGGACAAACGAGTCAGACAACAGAAAGGCACTTCTGGCATGTGATAAGAGATCACAAACCAGTAGGAGAACGTTTCACTCCCTAGGCACCTTAACTGGTGATCTGAATGTTGCCTGCATTCAATAAAACACTCCAGCTTAGAACTGAGGTCTAGTCCCTGACCGCAAGGGAATTTTCCATGGAAAAAGGAGATGTAATAGCTGGACTTCAAACTGCAGTGCAAGACAGGAATGGAGGCACGTCACACCTGTAGAATTTCTGTACAATCTGGAAAAGCAGAAGAGTATCCACAGAGGTCGGAAGGGATGATCAGCTTCCCCAACCCTTCCAGCCGCTGCAGAAACTCTTCTGTTTGTCTAGATAGTATAGAAATGCGACAGGTGTGATTTCCCTTCATTCCTACCTTGCAGTACAGGACAAAGTTCAGCTATTACTTTTCCCTTTGTCATGGAAAATTCCCTTGTGGCCAAGAACTGGCCTTCAATTCTAACCTGTGAGCTGAACATCTGGAATTCCCATCTGGTGAGGACCTTACTGGTGGTTCTCAGGTTCAGAACTCCAAAGAACAACAAATAAGGGAAACCTTGCAATTTAATTTCCAGACACCGATAACACTAGAAAGGATAATCTGTCCTGCCTCTTACTTGCTTACTAAGAAAAATTATAAAGCAATGAAAAAACAATGGCGTGCATTAAAGAAAAGGAAAATTAAAATAAATGCAACTTTTTAAAAACATTCTTACAATTCAGGCAGCTCAAAACTGAAAATGTGTTTTCTTTCTCCTCAGGGTACAGAAGATTAGCAAGAAGAAACCATAAATGTTTTATGCTTCTCTGATGACACCCATTGGACGGAAAAAAACACCTTTTAGGATAGGTGTAAGTCAACCCCAGTCAATAAGGAAGACCAAATACCTTTGTTCTTGTCCCGTTTATGCTTTAGCTGTGGAGGATGGGGTCTTACTCTGGCTAGAGCCTGCTCTCGGTGGTTCATAAAAATGGGACCAGGAAATACAAGGGGGCCTGAGGAGAAAATTTTTTGCACATGCATAGGAAAGCTCACAAAAATGGAAACACAGTGTGTTCAACAAAAAAACAAAAACAAATTAAAAGCATGAAAAAGGATGCAATATTCAGTAGTCAATACTTTATACTTTTAGATAAGGCACTAACATTTAATTACAATCCAAGCGCTTGTTAATTATCTAGCATATTAACACACTAATAAATGCATGATGGTATTACAGGGGATCAAAACTGGGGCTCCAGTGTGACTGCACACCGTCAGTATACTTTCTTAGCAAAAGCCATTATGTACCAAGCTTAAGTATGCAAGCCATTCTAGCAAACTAGATATTTATTGAAAGTATTTATAATCCTGCTTTTTGCAGTGGCACTGTAATGCAGAACGAGCAACAATCACAATTAAAACAACAACTCTTAAAGCGTCCACGGCACAAAATGAGTCCTCGATTTTTAAAAAAAAACCCTGAGGATTCAACATTTCAAGAACCATCATGGTCCTCCTAAATAACCCAGCCCTTCCTGAATGCCACAGATTCCAGAGGGCAGCCGTGCTGGTCTACAGCAGGTCAAAGCCGTGCTAGTCTGTCTGTAGCGGCAGAAAAGAGCAAGAGTCCAGGAGCACCTGAAAGACGAACAAAACTTGTGGCTGGGCGTGAGCTTATCAGATACCTGAAGAAGTGAGCCAGTGACTCACGAAAGCTCAGACCCTGCCACAAGTTTTGTCCGTCTTTCAGGTGCTCCTGGACTCTTGGCCTTTTCTAGGTCTGCGGTAGAAGAACTAGATTCAAATCCGGCGGCACCTTAGAGACCAATAAGGTTTCCGGGGTATATGCCTTCAAGAGTCAAAGCTCCCCTTGTAAGAGATACAGTGACGGGAGATTTGACTCCTGAAAGCTTTATACCCTGAAAATCTTGTTGGTCTCCAAGGTGCTACTGGACTCCGGTCTAGACATGAGAATGGGTTTCCTCACACTTCACAGGAAGCTGCTCTATAGTGTAGCACAGGACAAAGCCCACAAGCAAACTGAGACCGTTCTCACCTACTTAACCAGAGATGGAAAGGAGAATCTTTAGGGATGATTGACAGGGGAATGATACAGGTGCCTACGTGTGGTGTGGGGCTGGGGTGGCAGTGGATTCAGCGGGCTTCTGCGTGTTGGACATAAGAACATTAGAACATAAGAGACGCCAATGTTGGATCAGGCCAAAGGCCCATCCAGTCCAACACTCTGTGTCACACAGTGGCCAGAAATACCAGGTGCCATCAGGAGGTCCAGCAGTGGGGCCAGGACATTTGAAGCCCTCCCACTGTTGACCCCCCCAAGCACCAAGAAGACAGAGCATCACTTGCCCCAGAGCCCCTATCTATACCTTGTGGCTACACAACATCCCTCAGAATACGAATGTAGGTCCAATAATATGATCTCTCACCTAATTTGGTTATCACTTGCATGGTCCCCAAAACACACATACGGACATTTGAACTGCAGTGCCTCCAAACGATTAAAAAAATTTAAACTTATCTATTAGTAGAACCAAAAAGCTACTTGGCTTGGGCTAAAAAGTAAAAATAAAAGAAAAGAAAAGAAAAGTAAAGAAAAGAAAAGAAAATTCTAGCCAAACTAAGTAGGGTACATGCACCTGACCCAAGCTTCATGCAGCAAACCTGAATGAAACAGAACTAGGAGATGAGAAATATAGTGAAGAGAACTATCTACAGCTGAGAATAAACTCTCTTTCTGAGAGATAAAATGTTCCTTAGAAAATTAACCCATTCCCCTGCAATATCACAGACATGTCTAATCCCTTCCCTTGATACAGGGCAAAGAAGAGCATTTGGAAATCAAACCAAATGAAAACCAAGCACTTGGTTACATATTTTAGAATTTCAACAGACAATTTAAACAACAGCTTAGTTCCATCTAAAGACACATTTCTGCTAAGTGAGGAGTCTTCCTCCATTAGAGGAAAGCAGCTTCATTTGGAGGAAAACCCCTCTCAGCAGAAGGGAGGGAGTCCTGGTACTGGAAAGGTATAAGATGGGGTTCTGTGGTAGTTTTTTGCTTCTGCACGGCCTCCTCTGATTCTTCCAGTGCTATTTTCTCTCTCTGCAATTCTCCCTTTCATAGACAAATTGATGTAACTTATACATTCCGCCACTGTCTCCTGAATATGTCACCTGCCTTCTGGACATTTCGATAACTCCAGGTTTGTCACCTCACCAAACATGACAACCTAGTATCTTCCCACTTATCTTCATTTCACGTGGCTGTGCATCTTTTACCAATTCTTATCTGATCCTTCCTTTGCCATTTAAGCGGCAAAAGTTTACTGGTGCTAACCCTGTGCCATCCTTTATTCATCACTGTGATTCACACAACCTCTATAGGTATACTACTGTTTGACATAAATCTCCCATTCACCCATTCACAGGTTTTCTACCAAGGCAATCTGTAGATATGGGGTCTGCTAAAAGGAAATATCATACAAGGGCTTCATTGGGAAAAGGTCTTTTTGGCCTGTGCTCTTCAGATCTGGCTTAGCATGCTGTTGTAATCTGCATGCTTTCTTTTAATTTCACATGGAAACTGGACAATGCAGGGGTACTGAATACACATTCTTCTGCATGAGCATCTATGACAATATATACAAGAAGGAAATCCTCAAGTGAAAACAGTGGCATGCAAACAAGGACCAGATGTCCTGGCACATCTTCACCAGAGGTGACACATTTTCTCATGGGAAAAAAAATGTTTTGCATTACTTTGCTATGTGTCTTAAAATGCTACTGTCTCCAGCACAGCAAATACAGCTAAGCCACTCACCACTAAGAACACCTGGAAACAGATACTCAGCTATGGGGAAAGGGATGAACTTCTGAACTGGTAACAACCGAAATGTGGAAGATTTTTGACCCCCTATATGACATAGCATCCAAGCTTCTTAAAGTTGTCGCAGACCAAGGAGTGATTGGATGGATCTAAAATTCCAATTCGGATGTTGTGAAAACAACTCATTCTACAACTGCAAATGACCAGCCTTTCAATCGATAGCCATAACTGCCACCTCAGTTGTTCGAAGACTATCCATCTTAAAAACAAACAATATTCTCATTTGATGTTTTTGCCACCTCCCCGATATTTTCAGAAAGAAAAGGGAGTACTAGCAAGGCAAAAACTATCAGTTCCAACGCTTCACTACCTGGACTAAGGTATACTGTCCGCTATACTGCCAATTTCAGCTTCTTTGGTCAAACATACCTTCAATGTCAAATGGAACAGACCAAAAACAAATGGAAATTATCTCTTTAACTAGAACTTACTTTAAAATTAAGCCAATGGATTCAGTTCACTCATCATAACTTGATGTTTATTAAAGAATTAAAATAAAGGCGGGAATGCTAAGCACCCATCTAGTGCATGGCGGCTAATATTAGGCTCCAGCATGCCCAGTTCCATATCAACTGTTTTCTGATCTCTGCAGGTGAGAAGTGCCAGCCAGCATCTTGCGATGTGCATTCTTAGGTCAGAGGGTAGATTCATATGCACTTGTAGAGATGTTATCAGAAAGCAAAATATAGCTGTGATTTGCATACAAGTATCTTTCTTCTTTAAAATACACAGAAACAGGTTCCAGTCCCTCCCACTCATCCCCTCTTTACATTTAAAGGGAAAACATAAGCACCTGCATTCATCTAACTAGCATAGCAGGCATCTATTTTATACTCTGGTAGCTGTACCCAAGAACAAAATATAGCAAGGGAAGCCATTCTGAGGCATTCTCAAGACATTTAGGAGATGTTATGTTCAACCACAACAAGTGACTCTCACATCTTCACTGAGAAGGGAAATCCTCTGAGGACATATAAAGACTTCTCAGGCTTCTTCGCCATAATGCGAGGAGGAGGGGGTGCTTTGCTCCAAGTTCCCCTTTCATCTGACAAACCCATTCGCTTTCTGCACTTTGAATAGTGCGGGGTTTTTTTGCAAATAAAATGCATTTGTGGCCAACACAACTCTGCCCGGTAAGATTGAGAACTCACTCAGGGCTTAAGAATTATAACGTAAGTGATATAAATTGCTGAATGCATAATGCCAGCAATGCCCCTTGGTTGATTACGATGGCCAAACTGGACAGTCTCTAGACAAGAGAATAAATGGTCACAAATCAGACATTAAAAATGGAGAACACTTAAGCCAGTAGGGGATCATTCCATTCCCCTTGGGCATTCACTAATAGGCTTAAAGGATGCAATACTTCAAAGGCAGGCTCCAGCTAGAAGGTGCAGATCTGATACTATCTGGGACTCAACAGGCTTTTGAGATGGTTAGCTCACTACAAAAACTAATTGTTCCTATTTGCAGTTTTATATATACCATTCACAGTTATCCTATTTTGAAAATTCATCAACAGTTAGGAGAGGATCGTTTACTCTTTGACTGGACTGTGTTTTCATCTTGGAAGGGTTAAATCCCAGATTATTCTGGTGCCTCAGGAGAAAGCAAGCGTCCCAAACACCAAGAAAGTTAACGACTAAAGCAAGGCTGTTCACATGAAATTCACTCTCACAATTTACTTGCTAACCTGTTAATTGCTCTAAATTTCTCAGAATATTGTTTCTTCATCAAGCCTGATTTTGTAGGAAGCGGGGTGGGGGTGGGGAAATGGATCTTGCATACCTCTCCCTTCCTCCAACCGGTGTCTCCTGTTCACTCGCTGTCGCTTCTCTTCTTGCCGTAACTGGAGGTGTTCTTCAATATTAACCCCAGGCACAGGGACAGCTGTATCAGTGAAGAGGCAACAGCACTCAGCATCCACATATAGTTGTGGTTGACACAGATGTATATGCAAAAACGCATCTGTATACAATTTCTAAAACACTTTCAAACTGAAGCATCGGGCAAAAGGCATGACTATTCATCTGTCTTAAAAGGAACTTAATTATTCTCTGAAAAAATGAGAACGTAAGGTCTTGACTATTCTCAGTGTGTTCTCTGTCAAGATTCACGTCTTGTTCCATGTGAAAAATAAATGCTATTTACTATCACACTTAAGAGTGAAATACTGTTTTCCTGTTATGCACAGAGTCTGCATGCTTGCTCTCTCTTACACACACAAAATGAAATTGGGATGGCACTGGCTTGCCATAAAATCATGGATAATGTGACTATTTTATTAGTAAAATACCATCGTCGTCTCCAACGGCAACGTCACTGAAGCACAAGACTTAGACAATATGTTTAAATGAAAAAGATAAAATGAGACTTTGAAACACATTATCTAAAGGAATGCAAAATTTTTAAGCTTATGCAATTGTAAAATGGGTTCAGAGTCCATTTAATCCCCAGTTAATTAAACCTGCGCTGCACACCTTCTGAGCTACTATCAAGAATTACGATTCACAAAGAGAAGTGGTTTTAACATCAGTACACAGAGCTGGCTCTAGGAGGCTGGTTATCGAGTTACCAAAAAAGGAGAGGAAATGAAACAAAAGAAGGTGTTTTTTAATACCCTTCCTCCAAAAGATTTCACACATCCCAGTTTTAGATCCCTTACCCAGCAGAAGGTCCAGAGGGATCATCTCTTTCACAGCATCCAGGATTCCTCTTTGCCTGGCCTCCTGGCCATCGAGTTCTCTAGCGCAGGCCTTGCAGCACCCACACACTGCACAGCCAGACTCTCCAGAGCCACATCCACAGATTCTGGAGAAGGTGGTGGTGGAAAGTATTATTGAATTGTAGATATTCAGAGCACTCATTCATAGAACCATTCTAAGGTCAGAATCATAAGCTTCTTATTTCATCAAAACCACGTGTCAAATTTTGCAAAGGGTACTTTATATACTTTTTACAGAAATCTTTCTAGAAGACTAAGGTAAAGAGGTTTCTTTCTCCTATTGTATCTGAAGAAGCGAGCTCTGTCCCATGAAAATTCATGCTGGAATAAACACTGTTGGTCTTTAAGATGCCACTGGACTCCTGTTAGGTTTTGCTACAACGGACTAAAATGGCTAGAACTCTTTTTACAAGCCACGAAGACAATTAGCCATGCCACTCATGATTAGTTTTTTGCATCCCAACCCCAAACAAACTTAGCGGTTAAAGACCCTCCCTTCATGCTTCTCCAAAATTTCAAGAACAGCAGGATAGAACTCAAACCCAGATTTTCTTGTATCCCGGATTATTGTATGCAGTACCACTAAGGACAAGAACAAACAGGAGTTTACACTTTAATATATATTAAATATTGTCCTTTTCTCCTTTGATTTTGGAGTCTGTCTTCCACTGTGATCTTTTTTAAAACAGGAAGACTAAAGATTTGACATCCATCCACTAAGCCACATACTCCCACATTTCATTCCCATTGTCAAGTTGTTTACAAACCATCAAACTATGGTTACCGTTGCTTCTGAGGAGACAAGTAATTACTTCCTCTAACAAAAGATCTTCCCCCCCCAAACAGCGTAATGTTGAAAAGCAGAAATGAATAAAAAGTACATCCTACAAGTACATCCATCCATAACAGATTCTCTGTAGTATAACCAAAGAACTGAAGTGTGTTTTTTAAGTTTGTTTCAGAAACCCACGGCATACAACAACTCAAGACTTGCCACTTTTCACCCTCCCAATTGAGCTTGCAAACGTTCTACGTCTGTTAGCCGTAAGACTCTTAACCTGAGGAGCCCATACAGTTCTTGGCCCTTTGGCTCTTAGCCCTGTGGCTTGCAGCCTGTGATTTCCAGCAAGCAAGCCAACAAACCCAGGACAAGTGTGAGATCATGTATTTGTTTGGCTTCCATTGTCTGGTTGCTGGGCACTGTATTTTTCTTGTAAGAGGCTTTTCAGAGGAAAAGTGGTATATAAATACTTGAATAAAAGAAAAATATAGCTGAGGGCAATTCAGAAACTGCTGCTATCATAAGAAACTCCACTTGCTAATGTATTCATATCCCACTTATCTTCCATCAGGGACCTGAAGGTGATATACAGAAGGATGCTGATGAGGTTTCCCAGAACCAGGCACTGACCAGACCCAATTAAATATAGCAAGATTGTTGCATCAGGAGCCTTCCAACCATTGCTTTAAGCAATTATGGGGTATACCTTCTGCCACTGAATGACAATATTTGGGGGCAGCCCTGCTATAGAAATAGTGGCAATACAAGTAAGCGATATTCCATAAGAATTTTTATTCACTGTTTCCAAGGCTAAGAATGAAACACTTTTGCTTACCCTCCAGGGACTCTGTCAGGACGCCCACTGCTAACACAACTTGCTCCGTAGCCTGTGCAGTCCCCACAAACAGTGCATACCATACACTGCTCCAATTTCCACTTATGCATGCCTGGCGGACACATCATGGACTTCTCATCTTTTTCATCGAGTTCCTCTTCTAAATCTTCATCCATCGCTGTTGCCATGTTCTCTACTCCAAAGCCTAGGGGAGAACCAAAAACAATCCATGGCAGATTCTGTAAACCAGCGCAGCACTACATGATTAATACAGTGGATCTAAGCCTGGAAAACAGTAATTCTGTTAACCTACGACCCCAAAAACCTATTTTTTTAAAAAAAAAGCTTTTATAGCACACAATTGCTTGCATAAAAGTCAGGTGACTACGTACACTGACAAAAAAAAAATTCGAACACAGAATTAGTCAACGTTTTCCCCAAGCACCATTCTAGGGGATCTTGGTGCTCAAAAAAAAAATTCGAACACAGAATTAGTCTCAACATTTTCCCCAAGCACCATTCTAGGGGATCTTGGTGCTCTCTGTAAATAAACTCATCTAGGGTGAATGTTCTCTTTATTTAAAACATCTGTATCCTACCTTTTCCAAAAAAGGTTCAAGGCGGCTCACAAAAGATTACCCCATGATATTCTTAACAATAAACACATATAAAAAACCCTGCACGCACACACGCGCGCACACACACACTTTAGAACTAAGGAAACACACAGCTTCAAGCTGTGAGGGCTCTCCCCCACACACCAAAAGCCTATAATGTTACAGATGCTCACCGAAGAAAGGAAGCAATCTGGTGAAAAGATGTTTAACAGTTCCTTTTAACAAAGTTTTAGTGTGGAAAGAAAAACTGCAGTACATGAGGCAAGAAACAGAAAAGTCGACAGAAAACAACAGATAGAATCAGCAACTGAAATAGGAAACAGAAGACTAGGAACAGTGGTCTACTAGGATGGCAAGTACTCATAAGGACTATAATGGGTGGATCATGAAAAACTAAGGCAAGATCTTTAACTAACAGCTGAGCACTACAGGTGCTCATCTTTCCACTGTGCACAGTTCTGTAACCAGAGCACTAGGCCAAAGGTGCCCCAATTAGGCCTACAATGTTAAAAGAAAGGCAAGAGCTACACCTAACGCAGGCAGAACAGAGGACTGTTGGTTCAGATATACAGACTGTTAACGTTTCAACTATATATATGTACAAATAAAACAAAGATGAGACACTGAATGGTAAAAGCCTACAAAAGCAAAAAAAAAAAAAAAGGGAAATGGAAGAAACGGTGAAAAGTTTGGACAAAACCGTCCTTGATAATGGAGCTCCACAAATAGAGAAACTACAGAAATACAAAATAAGGACGCTGCCACGGAGGAGGAAGGAACTGACCTTTCCCTCCCTGGCTCATGGAACCAGTGTCTCGTCCACATTGCCCTTTGTTATTCACTCCAAATGTCCACACTTCCCCATTCTTCATTAGCACACAAGTATGAGCTTTGCCCATGGCTACCTGAGTTGCAAAATGGCCTTTCAAATCAGTCACTAAACCTGCAAGATAACACAATGGAATGGTAAACATTTAATTTCCCACATCCAGAAATCTGGCATATTGTGATAAGATATATTTACTGTAAACATTTAAGAACATAAGAGATGCCAATGTTGGATCAGGCCAAAGGATCCAGTCCAACACTCTGTATCACACAGTGGCCATAAATACCAGTGCCATCAGGAGGTCCACCAGTGGGGCCACATTCTGAGCATACATGATTCCAGAAGAGTTTCTAACACCTAAAATCATAAGATAAACCACACAAAAAAACAGCAAAATCATTTTATCGTTGAAAATCAGAGATGACAAAATGAGGCAAAGACAGAGGAGAGAAACACACACGAAAAACAGAAGGCTTGGTAAACAAGTACGCTTTTGCTGGTCCCCTAACAGCTCGACAAACTTGGTACCAGGCAAACTGATGCAGGGAAGAAGTGCCACAAAAGGTAGCACCCTAGGACCAGTGCTCACCAACCTTTATTTCTGAAAGTGGAGACACACACTCTTCCCAACTGGTTGTGTGCGTTAGGTGAAGTCGCTTGTGACTTCTGGCCACCCTATGGATTAATGACCTCCAAAGTGTCCTATTGCTAACAGCCTTGCTCAGGTCGTGCGGAACGAGGGCCATGGCTTCCTTGATTGAATCAATCTATCTCATCTTGGATCGTCCTCTTTTCTTGCTACCTTAAACTCTTCCCAGCATTATTGTTTTTTCCAGTGAGTCTTGTCTTCTCATAATGTGATCAAAGTACAATTGCCTCGGTTTAGTCGTTTTAGCTTCTAGGGAGAGGCCAGGCTTGATTTGTCTCGAACCCACTTCTTTGCCTTTTTGGTTGTCCACAGTATCCATGGACAATAAATAAAGCCCGCATATAATCAATAAAGTCTGCATGTAATCACTCTCCTTTAAAAGATGAATATTCCTCAGCAAAATGGTAGAGAGCTAGACAATGGTCACCTAAAACCTATCTCTTCATGCCCTGACATGGGTTTGGATTCCATCCAATCCAACAGTTTCTTAAGTAGATAAGCAGAATATAACTTTCCCAAAGAAGAAAGGAGGCTAATTGGATGATAGCAGGATGGACCCAGTCTAGACCCCTTTTTAAATATTGGGACAATAATCGAACGTCTCCATGAATCAGGTATTTGCCCACCGAAATTAATTTGAATAAAAACTGGGGCCAAGACTGGGGCCCACCACTGTAGATCAGCCTTGGGAATTAGATCAGAGCTAGGGGCTTTTCCTAATTTTAATCCCTTAACATATAACAGAGGCTATTAAATCGAGAGAAGTAATAGTCAAAGATGAACTAAGCACATTAACATCAGAAAATAGTCCCTTGAAATGGTTTTCCCACATCAAGGGGGCAATACAGCAAGGGATTTTAAAATTTAGATTGACAGCAGTGTTAATAATGGACCAGACGGCCTTATTATCATTGCTGTTAATAGCTGAAATGAGACATACCCATTCCTTACTCAAGGCCAATCCATCTCCTCATCTTAATCAGCTCTCAATACATTTTCTTCAGTTCCAACAACTCTTGGAGAACTGATATTGTACAATTACTTTTAAACTCACAATGCGTCTGTTGGATACGCCTCCTCATTATTCTATAGTCACTATTAAACCATCTATTCTGCCTGGTTTCAAAAGATGTCCTATCACAGAGTGGCCTAAACAGATCTAATACCTCATGCAAGTTATACAAACAGTTGGAAATGGAGTCTGACTGCAGAACCCTGTTGACTAAGGTGTACAAAGAATGGAAACCATTATAGTTCGTGCCTTATCACTAGAGTCAGAGCTCTAGAGTAATTTACAAACATTATTTTGATTTTGGGAGAGAGAAAAGTTTTGTGCTGGAACAGAATAGTGTTCCAAAGAGAAATCTGTACAAAAAAGACTGGGAGATGATCACTTCCCATAAAATCACCAACTTTTAAGTGTTTAAAATGGGAAAGACATTGAAATGGAGCCACAATAGAACCTATTATTCTGGCTCCTCTGGAGCTCACAAGTAAAATCACCAGGTCCATCAACCTCTAAATAACAACTCAATGGAATCAAATTTCTCTGGATTGCAAATTTAGCCAACTCTAAACCACCACTGTTTATTACAGCATCCTTAAGATTTTCTGTTGTGCCAAGCAGGGGTGAGAAATTCATTGTTATCAGAACCTAATAATTTGGAGAAAAGTGTGTAGTCATCACTACCAATCCTTGCACTGAAATTACCCGCTAACACTAGAGGGATTCCTGGAAATCGAGCATGCAAGTAATCAACAATTTTCCCCAGGCGGGCCGATCTTTGAATCGTTATACTAGATGTGGATGGGGGAATATAAACTGAGGAGAGAATAACTGTCAAATCATCCAGTTTTAATGGAAAGACAATGATCAGATCATCTGCCAACAAGAGGTCACACAATCCAATATTCAAGATGGATAAAATTAAACAAGCCAGACACCCCCCTCCCTGTGGCCTATCCCTCCTCGCAATCAATGGATATTCTCTGGAAAAAAGTGGCATAACCAAGGAAAATAGGTTCATCCATTAACCAGGTCTCCTGAAGAAGTAAAACATTAAAGGAGGCCATAAACACTTTAGTATCCTTGCAACAAACTCTCGAGAACCAGCCAGCTATATTCCAACTTAAGATATGGAGTCTACAAGTCCCAGATAGTCAATTTTTTGCTGCTGGAGAAGTCTGGTACTGACAGCTTGAGGATATTTCCCAGATTAATTATAATTCTTGGCTCAAGAGGAATAGGAATTTTCTCTCTTGTCAGGCTTGATTCATGTGGCTTCTTACTGGCCAAGAGGAGGATGATTCCATCTAAAGGACTAGCTAAAGACTGATTCTTATTCTTATCAAGAGACCTGTATGGAACAACTAATCACAACTCTTTTTGACTGGTTATCTGATTTTAATCCTGATTCATTTGTACTCGTGTATGATGTAATTTCTGAAACTGGACAGTTCTATTGTCTTGTTCCTCAAAGGGTAAAGAATGAAATGATTGAAGAAGGTTCATATCCACTAAGTCTAGCTGATTGTCCTTTGAGAGGGATGGCAAAGGAGAGAAGGTTTTAACTTCATCCGTTAGATTAAAACTCTCACAAATCACCTTTGTCTAGTAGATCTGGTTGGTCAGCATCGGCTTTCTTAGCTGGTGAAAATTCGATCAGAGACCTATCACTAGCAGAAGATTGTATTCTCTTTGAATGTGTAATTTTCATTTCCTTAAGGGGACTAAGCTTGATGAGTGGCTTTTTGATCAGATTATAAAGGGATTTCGATAGCACAATTCTGTGCCTTTTAAAGTAAGTGCCCTTAGTGAGCGTTTTAGCGTTCCTTTTTTTTCCCTACCAACTTATCCATTGTCCTTTAAAGAGGAAAATAGTCACTACGACTATTCGCCTGGAGCACATTCTTAAGAGGGAAGAGGAGTAAATTCTTTTCTTCTAATTGTTGTTGTATAAAGGCCTTTCTCTAGATATTACATCTTTTTTAGCCACTTCTGAGTGGAGTGGCTTCCTGTGACTTTGTACAGAATTTTCCTGATTTAGGGACTGAATTTTAGGGAGATAATCTGTGATAAACTCTAACCTCTTATAAATAAGTTTCAGTGTTATTTGCAATGCCAGCAGACTGAAATCTTGAGATCCCTTTCCAATATTCCGTTCATATGTTAACATATCATATTTCCCCACTGAAATAAATGAATCGTTTTGGTTCAAAGAGTGGGATCTACCAAGTTTCTCATCCTCCACTTGACTCTGATGGATCAAAGGTTCAAATCTGTTTTTTAGGGGAACTGGAGAAACTGGAGAAGCACTAGTAAAAAAAATCACCTAATCTACTTTGTTTTGGCTTCATGTTAAAATTATCATCAAAAGAGCAGGGCCACTTTTTACACATTTCAATAGTCACTAATTTCAATATATAAGATATATTCAATATATGGACAATGTGTACTAAACTATGGCAACCAGCTCAGATCCTTCAGAACATCTACTGTAACTCATGCCAGAAAGCAGCTGTTGTCGCTGTGTTTTGTACCAATTAAAGCTTCCAAAGGCAGTCCCCACAAAGCACATGTTAATTAATCTAACCTTGAGGAGATCAAAACATAGACAATTGTGGCCAGATTGTGCATCTCAAGGAAGGGCTGCAGTTGGCAGTATGTGCCACAGAGGAGACTCGCACCTCCACTTGCAGACACAGATCTAACGTATGCCCGATATGACAATCTGGTCTTCTAAGGGAGTAGCACTCAAGACATACTGTCAGGCCACCGTATTGACTAACAGCACCTTCATCTTGTCTGGACCAAGCTTTAATTTGCTGTCCTCAACCAGCCCATTAGCACCTTCAGACAATCATGTAGAACATCCACAGTGTTACCCAACTCCAGTGAAAGGGAAAAATACGACTTTTATGTCATCAGCATATTGATAACATTTCCATTTTTTTATTTACAAATTAAAATGTAAATTGGAGGTTTCCATCACTAAGCAAAAGACAGGCCTCAACAGCACACAGTAAATATAATCCATTAGGGATCTCACGTTGTAGCACAGTTGGTTAGCCTCCATTCCTCTAAACGGGAGATTTCAATTGGCCAGTTATCCATAAGATACAGCAAAGCAGTTGCACTTATTCAACCCTTCCTTGGAGGAATTAGGGCAGTGTACTCTATTTTAGCCTTTCAACCCTTCCTTGGAGGAATTAGGGCAGTATATGTTGTTCTCCCTACTCTATTTTAGCCTCACAACAATCCCAGAAGTTATGCTCAGCTGGAAGAGTCACGCAATGAGCTGCACAGCTGAGTGAGAGTTTTAAAATCAGGTCTCCTTAGTCCAACCAGGACACCATCCTTGTTCTTCTTACCAAATCACCAGCTCCATTTGCTTTAACACACCTGAAGTCTCAACTTACTTGTGCTGTCAGAATAAATAGCATCCTTTCCAAACATGTAGAGCTCTCCATCTTTTGAAACGACGGAACTACTCCCATTATTGCACGCAGTATACACCACAATCTTTCCCTCCATTTTGATTATTTTTTTGGGCTTGTATGGTTTAGATTGCCGCCTGCTTTTAGCTATAAAGAGGGAAAGAAAGACACATTATAGTGGGTAAGATTTAACAAAAGACCGCGGAAGTGAATGAGTTTACACTTCGTTAGACGAATGTTCGCAATGATCAAACTGTCACTGATATCTGAGTTGTTTATCTTCCAGAACAGCTAGGCAAAAGGGGGGGGGGGGTCTCGTGGATAAGACTTTTTTGCCTCCCACGGGATCTACCATATTTCTCCCATTTGTACTTTTGCACAAAATCAAGAAAGGAGCATGCCAACATGAAAGTATGAGTCATCTGCTCTCTCCCCCTTTCCCTTTTTCAGAGTTATGCAAACATGTTCAGATATTTGAGGGCTCAATGAAAGGCAACAAATACTGTCAGCTATAACTATAAACTACAGATTTCTTTTAATGTTCTCAGCCTCCCAAGATCATAAAACAAACAATATTATTCATTCGTTTAAAATATATGTATGCTGCCTTTCCACCCAACTTAGGGTCCCAATGTGGCAAACAATGAAAATGTTAACGTAATTTTAAAAACAATTATACAGAACATATAAACATATAAACACACAAACAGGGAGGCGTGCTAATGAGACTTGGTGAGGAAAAGTCAAATCAAACCAAAAAGTCTTTATTGGCTGGCGGCAGACAATGGCAGAGGAAGACAGACAAACCTCCCTTGGAGGGAGTTCCAAAGTGTTGGTGCCATGACTGAGGTCCCTCCTCAGACTGCCAACCGTCCAGCCTCTGGTGATGGGAGGCACCTGAAGTTGGGCCTCTGAAGATGACTCGAGTACCTGGGTGGGTTCATATGGGAGCAGGCCGTCCTTCAGGTATGCTGGCCCTGAGCCATATTGGGCATGAAAGATCAATAGTAGCACCTTCAATTGGGCATGGCAGCAAACTGGGAGCCAGTGTGGGTGGAACAAGACTGAAGTGATACAGTCCAGTCAATGTTCTGGCCAGATTCTGTACCAACTAGCTTCTGGACACTCTTCAAGGGCATCCCCGCGTAGAGTGTACTGGAGTAGTCTAAACTACATAGTACCAGGGCACGCACCACACTGGCAAGATTCTTTTGCGCAGGAAGGGCCACAGTACCCCTCGGCACTCCTGCCAACCATTTGCCTCTACAGCCAGTTCACACACAAAGTAAAAGAAACATCAAAACAAAATCCCTCAGCACACTCAAATGAAAAGAGTCGTTGCGCTTTGCTCCTATCACCAAAACTGAACAAAAGTTCGAAAACACAACATAAGAATTAGAAAATGTTGTTTACAGATGAGACTTTCACATACGTTTTTTACTCTTGTCTTTAATGGATATGATTAAAAAATAAAGGAATAGAATTCATGTTTTCTAACCAAACCTGCTCTTTTGAATGCAGTGGCATTACTTACACAAGCCAATGCAAGTTTGTTTATATCACTGCATTATTTAGTACTTGAGTTAGTTATGCAAAAAACGCATGTCTTCTGAGAAAGTTATTCACAGGAGAAGTACGTCCATGTTTCAAACTCATAGATTGGTTCAGGTTCAGGTTCAGGTTTCAGTTTATTGCCTTTAGCCATAGGCCGTTACAATGACAGAACAATATAACAATAACATCTACATAAACTTCTAAAACCAAATTGAGACATAACACAAAGGGAGAAGGATGATGACCCCCAACACAAAGGACCAGAACACTAGGAAGTATCTCCATTTTCATTCAACATATCTCTTAACAGCTGTTGACACAGATGTAGACGTATTACTGCCAAACTTACTTGATTCGCCATCCTCCCCTTTACTTGCAGAGCCTGTGAAAAACACACTTCCATCTTCTGCAACAAGCAAGGCATGTGAACCATCATGCCCAACGGAAAACTGAACAATCTTTGGAGATTTGGTAATTGGCAACTCTACCCATTTTCCAGCAGAAGGACCCCCTTGTTTGATTCCAAGGCTCTGGTATTTCCCAGTATAATAAATCTATTAAAACAAAATCCACAAAAGCTACATGGGAATCTAATATATATATATATATATTACAGGATTCAGGAGGAAGCCATATAAATCCACCAGTGCAAACAAGAGAAAAGAGCAGTTTGGCAGGAGTTGGACAGTGAGCAGAATGCTACTAAAAGAAGCAGCGTGCCTCTCCCCCCTCCACACACACAGAACATTCCCTGCACTCTCACCAAAACACTTCTTGGGGGGGTCAGAAGACCCACAAGGATAGCAGTGATCTGCAGCGAGAAGAGGGGAAATCAGCAAAAATGTCCACCACTACCTTGGGTGCATGGAAGAGCCATTCCACTTGCAGAAGGAGGAATTGGACCCGACCCAACCGCTTTATACTGGTATTACTGGTATACATGAATTGGCTACATGATCATGTTTTTGTTATTTGGCAAAACTAGAAGCATGTACACACAGATGCTTTCATTCTGTGAAAGTAAGTCTGTAAATGCTGAATCACAGGGCCACATGACACTTAGTCACACATCGCTTTCCGTCAATATCTTTTTCTTTTACAAAAAGCAGTTGCAGAGGCTATAACCTGAGAAAAGTCAGGGGCTTCTTTCTGGTGAATCCCAAACTGGCTGTATTTTGGAAAATAAGAAAATGCAGGATACAAAACTCAGTATCACGGGTAGTTGGGCCCACATACGAAGTTATACCCTGTTGCTCAAGAGTACCATCATGAAGTACCCAGTGCTAATTATCCATAATAAAGCATTTCCAGTACCTTTCCACTAGCCGTTTTCATTAGTGCAAATTCTCTTCCTGCACCAAGAATAGCTGACTCCTCATCAAACCCTGTACCTAAGAGTACAAAACTACAATTAGCCATCCAAGTTCTTCAAAACGGAGGTGGTTTGAATCTCGTGCTCTAATGCACCACAGTCACAGCTCTACATAGGTCATATCCATTCAAGCATTCAACTAAAAACTTCCAAGGAAGTGTTGCGTGTTTTCAAGTGAATATCACTAGCAATGACTCGTAGGGCTAAAAACACCAAAATATTGTGCGCAGTAAAGATTCTAGCTGTAAGCAAACCTATCTACAAGCCATACGATACTAGGATACAGCAAATCTATACCTGGCAAATTAAAAAGTAACCATTAATTAGTAAATCGTAACTGACCTACCATTTGCATAAAGTGGGTACCACTGCCTCATACACATGGCAAACATGACTTGTAAATGCACTTAATTACATTGTATGAATGTGTCTGTGTGCAACACGTCTGCCCATGACTACAACCCATGTTCTCAGTCCTAAGTTTTATCCTCGGACATTTCTTCACCCTGACATGTTTTCTATGCAAAACATCATGAAGACGACGGTAGAAAAAGTGATGCCTTACTGATAATGTGCAAGTCTTTCTCCAGATCAAATAACGAGATACCGCATGCATGTAAACATTTTCTGGCAAGTTTGAGCTGCAGTTCTTGCTGTAGTACTGGTTCTGTACTCGTTGCAAATATCCGAACAACAAAGCCATCCTGCAACAGAGAAAATACCAGATTCAATCAATTTAAAATGTATTGACCAGGAAAGAAAGGCTAATCCCACCCTTTCCAAACTGCACTGTGAACCTTCTGCAGCTCTTTAGAATGTGACATTAAATAACGTATATGTAGAGTGAGGCAATGATCAACTTGAATTGGGGTATAAACACAACAAGCAAAAATGACATATTGTTGAAATATTAGACCTATAAATCTAAAGCACTTTAATATTATTTCATATATGCTCATCTCCCTACCACGAATATGATACTGAGCTCTCACTAGATGTAATAAGAATGAAGGTATACATGGGTGCAGGGTTTATAAACTCCAGTTCTTATTATGTCTAGTGAGAGCTGAATATCATAATGGCAGTAGAGAGATAAAGAAAACAGAGTTAAACATTTGAATCTTAAGAAAAAGAAGCAATGGAAGGATGATGAAATTAAACCATGAGTTTTAGTTCCTGCAGTCTGAAAGCACATTAAGTTTACAAAAATGTTTCATGATGCTTCTAAATAGCAGTCGCATTCAGCACTCGTTGCTCAGGAAATTAGCGAGAACTGCTGCATTTCCCAGGAGTTTAATAAGGTTGCGAAGCATGTTGACTTATTTGTTAGTAAAATGAGGGATCCCGTTTTACCAGCCTCCCTCTGCTGCTCCATTTTTAACACTTGCTCTTGTCTGCATCAAGCAGCAAACACATACACAATCTGCTAACACCACAGATGAACCAAAGTGCTGTCAAAAACCTCAGAGCCTCTCACACGCCTTTTCACCTTGGCCAACATCCTTCCTGCAAATCACTGAATAGGTGTTAAGCTTATCAACCAAATTACTGAACTTCTAATTCTGGATGCAGAACAACATTCTTTAGAAAAGACTAAGGGCTGGATACCGCCTAATAGTTCCAGTGAGGGAAGGGAGGAGGTAATTTTTCCAGTTCTTCCCTCCCAACTGTTGACTTGTGATTCTCTTCTCATGCTGTTCCTGGAGGTCCTATCCTCCCAGAAATAAGAAATTGCAAGTAGATAAATAGGGACCACTTCAGTGGGAAGGTAACAGCGTTCTGTGCGCCTTGGTGTTTACTCATGCCGTCCACATGACCACGGAAACATCTTCGGACAGCGCTGGTTCTTCGGCTTTGAAACAGAGATGAGCACCGCAACCCTAGTGTCGGATTCGACTGGCTTTCGAGCGAGGGAACCTTTACATTTACCTTTTAGGAGCGGGGAGGCAGGAAAGTTGTGCTCTGCTGGCAGAAACACTTCTAACAATGAAAGTTTTCAGCATGATCCAAGCCTAACAGAGCAACTCTGTGTAGTTACTGAAGACTCAGCCCACTGAAATCAGTAGGCTTAGTGGGCTTGCCACATCCCGACTGACTACCGGTGGGGGGAGTAGGGTTGCCAGCTCCAGATTAGGAACCCCCTGGAGATTTGGAGGTGGAGCAAGGGGAGGACAGGGACTTAAATGGGATACAATGCCACAGAGTCGACCCTCCAAAACATCTATTTTCTCCAGGGATCTATGCAGTCCCACCTGGAGGTTGGCATCCCTAGGGCTTAGACAGGAGTTAGTCTGCATAAGATTTCCCTACAAAGCAGGAAACTCAGAATGAAGGTATCAAAATGTATGAGATCCGCAAAATTTGGCATTCAAAGAGAAGCAGCTTTCTGGGAAGGAGAAAAAGGAGAAGGGGAAGAGGAGCAATTTTGTTTTAAAGTGGCTTTTTACTTAAATCAGACTTACTTTTTATAGTACCTGTTTCATTTAATAATACTTCTATTTAAAATCCACGTTGAAGGCAACGTTTTTCATCTCTTAAGATAGTTCAGCACCAAACACTACAAGAAGAAGAACTTTACTTACATCTCGTGAAGCTGCTATCTGATTAATATACTCTCCGTCAGTGAAAAGGATATTCTGCCCCTCAGTCTGGCAATCTGCGTGTAACAACCGTAGTGTTAACTCACATTAAGCAATACTTCACCCTGCAACTTTACACAATTCATGCAAAAGCGTAATGGAAGTTCTAGGAAGAAAGGAAACCTACAGAATGAAGACAAAAATGCTGAAAGGATTCCAGAGGAACAGCCATGTTTTAGCCTGTCATAGCAAAACCCAAGGACCTCACAATGCCTTAAACCTGTAAGATTCCCTTACTGCACATATGCTTGCTTAGCATATAGAAGCTGCTTCAGGGCTGATCAACCTTCACATTTATACTTTCATTACAAAACACGGGCTCCAGGTCACTGAAGTTATTCCTTTAAACTACACTGCATGCTTAGATAATACATACTACAACTACCCCATAAACGCACACCAAGAAACTCCACCCGGAAAGGTGAAAATATCAATAATAAACGATTTATTTCCAAGGATAATATTCCATTTAACCATAATACATGCTATGGTAACATACTGTAGGACATAATGAAGTAATATACAGTTTAACCGATATACATTTCTAGATTTCAGGTATCCATGTTAAGTGGCAACACATTTTTCTCTATATTATTCTAGCTTTAATTTCCACAAAATAAAATATAACCACTGGATTTCTTTGTGTGCAAACTGAACCTAGAATAATACAGGAACCCATTAATCTGCCATATACTAAGTCAGTTATTGCCTACTCTGACTGGTGGTGGCTAAACAGGGTCTCTGCTGGGGGGGTGGGGGGGAGTCCTTTCACCTAGTACCTAATCCTTTTAACTGGGGATGCCAGAGATAGGACTTGGGACCTTCTGCATGCATACTGACCCACATCTATAGATATATTTATATTACACATTTGTAATAGTTAATACCGGAAATCTCGAAATGTATGTGCTACTTAAATAGTAGCTTAGGCTTAACATTGGAAGGTCCAAAGGCAGTCAAAGGACGTGGACCACAACCACCAACAACCATTCGGGTTTTCCCTTTGTAATGACTTCTGAAGACCACCACACTGCTGTTAAGAGCATTAATAGTTCTGTGGGCACCAACATGCCCAGCAGACCACCACAAACAAGTTTTGTGTTGACACAGACTGCCACTTTGATCCCTAAGAGGGTCTAGTCCTCAGTGCAGCAGCCTTCCTTCCTTACTAGCCTCCCATACAAAATGGGCCAGAAGGCCACCCGCTGAAGCCCGAGCGTGCTCCTCAGAAAAACAGCTCCCTTTCTCTCTCCTCCAACTTGCCGTCTCACACTTTAGGCCTCAAACTCTCACATGGGACAACTTCCCCTCCCTCCCCTATAAAAAACCTCCAATGACGTGAAGACAACGTCCCAGACTATTTTTGCTCGACACGCAGCTCCAAGTTCTTTGCCCAAATGACCAAGGTGAGCCCTTGAGACTTTGGCGGAGACAGTGAGGCTCTGCTTATGCCCAGCACATCTTGCCAGATACCACCCACTCTCTCTTCTCTTTGCTGCACACCAGCATCTTCACAGGTAGACGCTGCAGTCTGTGTAGCATTTTGGCCACAAAGCTTGCCCATCCCTGCTGTAAGACCTTCTGTGACTGCACACTACAGAATGATTGTCTGCAGCAGTCGAGGGTTCTGCACAGGCACTAAAAGCCGTTCTCTTTCTCTATACAAAATTATTAAACGACAAGGCCACACCTATCTGTGTGACTGAGCACACGTCCCTCATGGGGGGGGGGATACTCAGAGCTGTGCTTCACAGAGTCAACAACCTGCTGAAGCTACTTAACTCTGTTATCACCTTTAACTGGATCTGGAATGGGACACACCACCTTTGATCTTCCAAAATAACATTCCACAACACCGACAGCAGAGGCCTCATTCTGTCATATAAAAACTGCTGTCCCACCGTCGGTTACTTAAATGTTTTTTCTAGGTGTTGTCATTCCACACACTGACTGCAGAGGTGGCATAACCTTTTATATAACACACGGGCTGCAGCTGCAGAAGCCAAGTGTCACCTCTGGAATTCCATACACACTTGCACTTCAGCAAAAACAACTGAAGAGAAGAAGAGATTGGATTTATACCCCGCCCTTCACTTGGGAGTCTCAGAACGGCTTACAAACCCCTCCCCCTTCCCCTCCCCACAACAGACACCCTGTGAGGTAGGTGGGGCTGAGAGGGCTCTGACGGAAACTGCTCTTTTCCAGAACAGCTCTGACAGAACTATGGCTTGCCCAAGGTCATCCAGCAGGTGCAAGTGGAGGAGTGGGGAATCAAACCCGGTTCTCTCAGATTAAGAGTCCACGCACTTAACCACTACACCAAACTGGGAAATGGAGTTATCTGTAGAAAGTTGGTACATGGGTTCTGATAATACCTCCCCCCCACACCTTTCTTTCTTTCTGGTTGACGTCAGCAGAATACATCACCTAATGATGTATTACATTTTCTGCTGCTTAGTGCCCTAAACTCCAACGTTAGCTTTAAAGGATATGTTCTAACATAGGGTTCCCCAGTGTGGTGCCTGTGGGTGCCCTGGAGCCTGCTGATACCTTTTCCTGGCGCCTGCCAAATGTTTTTAGAAAGTGGGTGTGGCCAGGTGGGGCTTTTGCCCAGCAAGGCTTGTGGTTGGAGACGTGATTGGCTGTGCAGATCTTTAAAAATGTTGCTTTGGCAGCAGCTGCCCCCACAGCACAAATATCTTTGTTGTGTGACTGCAGGTGAGCCGCGGTAGTCATTTTGTGGCCCCACCCACCACACGGTGTCAGATTTCCAAAGGTGCCCACATGCTCAAAAAGGTCAGGGACCCATGTTCTAATAAGTTGGGAATCGAAAATGTTTCGTGGTTCAGTCATTTCTAAAAGGCTAGTGAAATCTGCATCTATCGGGTGACTATGCCTTTCTTCGCATTAAGGAACCCCGTCGAAAGGAGTCTACTTTCCCATACCTGGCAAAGTTACTGTGCCATCTTGCTCCAAGGATTCAGGATTTATTCTTATGGCCGTCATGCTGTGATTGTTCACATCTCTATATAACAAGTAACCCTGCAAAAATACATCACACCAAATATAACTACACAAGTTTCAGAACTGTGCTCACAGCAACAAAATAGCTTAATGTTTTATTCAGCCTTTTCTGCTGTACCTATTTTGAAAACCCACATTGGTTTTTCCACCAAATTCCTCTTTTTAACCAACTGACTACTTAAGTGTTGGAACTAACGCCCAAGCAAACTCTGATAACTTAATATATCCACACATGGTACCATAACATACCCATACATTTCTGTGTTATTTGCAGTGTGTGTGTGTGTGTATCATCTGTGTGTGTATGTATCAAGCGCCATCAAGTCAAAGCTAGCTTGTGGCATCCCCGTAAAAGTAGGTAGACATATTTTCCGAAGGACAGGTCTACCAATATAGTGGATTGAGACAGGTAGACCTGTTCTCTAGAGGCCAGGTCTACCAATATAGTGGAAAGGGATGGCTGAAATCTGACTTGATCCTGCTTTCTCTTATAATGCTTCTCTTAAAATAAAGTTTAAATATAATTTAAAATAATTTATTCTGAGATTTTTACGTTATGGAAATAATCTTCTAAAAAACTAATTTACGTGATAGCCAAAGGTATACTCACTCACAACTTTAATGCTACTAGCTTTTTTCGCTCATGAGGTAGAATTTCTGCTCACAACACTGGAGCTTAGAGGGAGCATTGGATTCTCTGTCCCTTCTCAAACTCCGAGCAGCATAAACCAAATGCAGCTGCACTGTTTGCCAGTCAGTAAGATACACTTTGTATTTTAGGCATAAAATTCAAAAGCAGTGTGAGCTAAGGCAACACTACTTCTTTACATTTAAACCAAAACAATGAACAAGTTATAAATGCTTTTATTCCATGTTTTACTGCAGGTTGGTTCAAACTAATCCCTTGGAATTGCTTCAAAAGTTTCTCTTACCTGAGCATAACCCAACCAAGACTTTTTCTCTTTTCTGTTTTTGATGCGAGACGTCGAGTTGTATATATGACCCTGTAATGCAGCAGAATTGTTAGTCTGACAACTGCTGTAATGGCACAAAAAGGAGGAAAAAATGCATAATACGAGTCTTATGATTATACAGTTACTTATTTTAAAACCATTTTAAATCAACTTCAGTCCAAGTGCAAATTCTATATTACCCTGACTGTTCCACTGTATCCAGAACCGATTTTGTAAAGACCATCTTTGCATAATAAATACAGGAAGTAACCATCACTCTGAAGGAGACATTGGTCATCTTCATCCACAGAAATGTCCTTAAATGACCACTTGTGCATTAGGGCTGCTTTCTTAATTCCATTGCTAAACCAATCCTGAATTTGTACTTTGCCCACCAAAACTGCCTGCACGCTCCTCTGGAGGGAATTTAAGATAGTTGGCACCTAAAAGAAGAAAACATAACACGCAACTGTCACTTATTAGAAATTTAAACTACTAACACTAAGAAACAAACAGCTCACAGATTTAGTATGAATTATAGTCAAAGTTAACATTATACATGCATTAATGTAAATGTAGTTTGTTTAGTATAAGAAAGGGAGGTTACAAGCAACAACAATGCCATGTGTAGCATCTGTGCACTACATGCTTCTATCCTTACCAAAAATTAAGGCTAAAGGCACAGTGGAATGTACAAGCGTTCATTTTTTCCCCTTTCACAAAGTTATTTACGTTCAAATCCTAAACAGTTTTAACTTAGTTCCCACAATCAGAGAACACATGGGGAGGTGCTATGGTAGTGCAGCTGCTTGGTATGCAGAAGGTCTCAGGTTCAATTGCCAGCATCTCCAGTTAAAAGGACCAGGCAGTAGATAATGTGAAAGACCCCCACCTGAGATCCTGCAAAGCCACTGCCAGTCTGAGTAGACAATACTGACTTTGATGGACCAATTGTCTGATTCAGTATAAGGCAGCTTCCAATCGTCCATGCATTCACATGTCCTGTTATGTATGGCAAAGGCATGTGGTGCTAGTGAGCAGTGTTCCCTCTAAACTGAGTTAACGTGAGCTAACTCACAGTTTTTTAGCCCCCGGCTCACACATTTTTTGTCTTAGCTCAGGAAGGGTGGCTCCAGAGCAAACTAATTTATGCAGTAGCCAAATCGCTGGCTCACAAATTTAATGCCAGCAGCTCACAAAGTAGGATTTTTGCACACAAGACTCCACCGCTTAGAGGGAGCACTGCTAGTGAGTTTTCTTTACAGTCTGAAAGTTTTCTGGAGAAATCCCATGTTATAACAGTACTGACAAGCCGATATCAGCGTGCTGTCACTTCTGCAATATCCAAAAAGGACCGGGGGGGGGGGGGGTGCAAGCTCCAGACATGCCTACAGCTTTACACATTTCTCTTGTACAATTTCTTCATTGCAATAAGTACAAAAAAGCAGGCACAAAAAGCGCACACACACCACTGCTTTCAGACAGAAGCCTAAAACAGTGACTCCAAACAAGAATGGACAGCAATGCACAAAATCCATTATGGCTTTCCAAGGGCTTCTTTAGGAATGCCCAGGGCTTAAGAATTTGTGACTTCAGTTTTTCTCTCTGAACAGCACACCCTTTGCCGTAAACTGGTTATCAAAAATTTCCTCAGTTTCAAAAGAAGTTTTTCAAGCCGCAGAGGAGACGGCTGCATGGAGAACACAAGTTCAAAGCTCCCTTGGGCCGCAGAACTAGTTGTGCAGTTCTTTGGATCGGGGCCAGAGTGTTTCAGCTCAGGATTTCAAACCAGATTTTGCAACATTTCTCAAGAGCTGACTCAGATATTTCTTCGGGAATAGTCTCAAAATAGGATGACATGTGACCTGTCAATTTTTTTAAGGCGTCACGTTCATGAAAATAACAAACCTATTTATAAGTCAGTTACACTGAACTCACTATACCATACCAGGACTTCTGTCTCGTGATAATTCCAAATCAACCCTTAACCTCTAAAATTGCCCATCTCAGAATTTGGAAAACAGCAAGCAACAAATGAGCATGAAATTCTGATTGCTAGGGCTATCAACGTTCTGCCAAAACAATACGGCAACCAAGAAGTTATTTTATCAAAACACCTGGATAGTCTGACAAGCATGGCTCCCATTGTTGGTGAGAATAGCAGAGATTGCTTGAAGCGTTCTTCCTGTTTCTCCCCAAGCGGCTACCAGACTGAAGAGGCAAGCGCACGAAAGTGCTGTCAAAGACTGGCCTGTGCTGTCATTCATTCCAGTACTTCGAACAGTTATTTCTAGAAGAAGCTGGAACAGAGACTCTGAAGATAAAACAAAAAGTTACTTGTGCAAAGCCGGGATGGCTGAAGAGTAACAAAAATCGACTAGCACAAAGAAATGCTTACTGATATATTCCAAGACTGGAGCTTTGTTAAAGAAATGAAAGCAATGACAGGGCAAAACGACGATGTGGATAATGTTGCCCTGCAGGAATTACCGAAGAGTTTTTCACCAGATTAACAACTCTCAATTACTGGCTGATATTTCAAAGGAGTGAACAGGCATCCAAATGACAGCGTTAAAAAACCCTCCCTAAGTTTCAACAGAAACTGTTTTTCAACTCCTCAACCCCAAATCAAAGGACTATTCAATGAGTAAAAGACATACAAGTAAGAGCAATGATGTGTCCCATATAAACACCCACAAGACAGAAGACTCTTGCCTTCTGAGCAGAGCATGATTCACAGCAATGCATTAAGAGATGCCCCCGCACATCATGCTCAGGTTATACTATTTAGACTGTGGGAAGCAGTTGCACCAGAACAGTAAATAGCTGTAGTAAGACATATAGTTCCAAATTTGTTATGTCACGAGACCACGTCTTTTATCTCTTTACATATAAACATAGTGACAGAAAACCATGAACCTCCATGAGACAAACTGAGTGTTATAATGGTAATGTTCTGATTGTAACACAGAAGCCGTCCGGGGGTGACCTCTATAAGAAGGATGTGGTATAGTGTTTCACATGGCTTAACTGTCTTCCTTTCGGAGCATCAAGGCAGTAAGTTATCTACATGTTTGTTAGATTATTTCCATTTTGTTCCCTCTCTGCCCACCTCCACAATTTTTATGAGTGGGAGCGATTTCTTAGAAATACATATATAGTTTTGCATGGCCGGGTGGATCAGTTCCTAAACACAGCCGCTGCAGTGCCTTAAAAATCAGCAACTGAAAACCACACACTTTTTTCTTTACCTTTGGTACTGTTACCAGTGTCAAAAATCAGTACCTTTAATACCCTTATCAGTGTAAAGAGTTTTGGAACACAGTGAATGCAATGCTGTTGTCATAGCCAACTGATCCTTAAGAGTCCAGGGGTCATTTTGTAGAAAAAAAGGTGCAGGAGCTCATTAGCATAACTTATTTGCATTTGCCACACCCCCTGACATCACCAGAAGTGTGTCAGAAGGCAACATCCACCACTCAGGCTCCACTGGACTGTTTTGGATTGCTAGCTATTGGGGGGGGGGGAACGTGCAGATCTGCCCTCACAGAGGAGGGAGAGCTTGTACCTGAAGGCGGGCCGGGGGGGGGGGCTCTGCAACTTACCTGTCTGCTTCTTGCTCCTCGTGGCCCAACTGAGGGCTGCTGGGAGCAGGGGGCGGGACTTGTTGCATGTGCCCGCCCCCTGGGCTCCTTACTGCCGGAGATCCACTCCTGTGCGCTCCCGCAGGAAATGACCCCTGCTTAAGACCCTTCTAGTCAGAGGACAAATGCAGAGTGTGCATCCCATAACCAGCTTTCCACTCTATCTCAACCAACTCCCATGGCTTTTGCCCATGCAGGTCCCAGGATCTCCAGCATAACCCTTTTGCGTGGTCAAAGGGAGACCCATCCTCCCTCTTTTTTTATCAGCAGAAACGTTAGCTGGGATCCACGCCAATATCTGAAAAACTTGGGGGTGAGGGGGTGAAAAGGAATCACAGAAAAGCATTACCTAGAACTTCAGGAGGCTCTGACTGGAGGCCTTCCGGTTGCTGACCCTGAAGCACGTTAAGAAGAGCTTGCAGGCTTCTTAGACAGAGAGAAGGATGAGAAAACCTTGTCTCCTTGATTAGCTCAAAAACTTCACACAGTCCAACTTCAATGATCTAGAGAAAGATGTACTATTATACAAGGATGCTTTTGGCTTCTGTACTGCAGAACATTTAGTTATCCCAGCACCACTGGCAGCTTGGAAAGACTGCGCTGATGTTCTTACCTTTGGAAGCTTGATAGGGGGCTCTTTCGCCTCCTCCTCTTCATCGCTATCTGAATCGCCACTCTGCACAGTATTTTTGGAAGCCAATGCTAAAGAGGTTTCCCTTTTCTGCCACTCTAGAACACAATGCCGCACATTGCAGTAGACATTGAATGCTGAAGGGTTACTGTGCAGTTTGATATCAGGTATGGTTACCATGTTATCCAGGTTGTCACTCTGATAAAAATAAGAGAATCTGTTTCAGTCAACAGTTCAGCAAAATTAATATTAGGGAGACACATACGTACACTGCTTAAGGAATACATACTTTCCCTTTTAACTCCAAGGAAACAGCGAGAAATCAGACCAAACTCATGTTTAAAATCGAACACAGTCACAATCTTCAGTATACACAAAGAACATAAAAGTGGGGATTTATCTAATCCCTCCATATTATGTCTAGTATCGGTGGGAGCCTGAGACAATCTACAGCGGGGAGAGAACTTTTTTTAGCTAGCTCCCCTGCAGGAATCACTTATGAATTAACGGATGCGAGGATGCCAGGCTGTAACACAGCATGAGCTCGCTCGTTAAGCGGAATTCACAGCCAATTTCTCCAGGGCCATGGCACCAAAGCAATTTGGTCAAATAGCTGCAGCAGCTCTTAATTAAGGGCGACAAGGATGCCCACCTGCTACCACAGTTCACCTGTGAGCCCTTCCCTGCCACTGCCGTCACAGGATGTGTAAGTGTAAAGGAGCATTTTTATAGAAACCATGCTTTACGTGTGCTTGCAGACACTACAGTGGTGTTACACCAGTGCTTACGTATGTAAAATATAAAGGGAAGATATGCATCCCAAATGCTCTCTGGCAGTGCCAAGCTGCAGTTCCCTGGCTGTGTCTAGGGATGAATGGTTAGCACTGCATACTGAGCAATGAATACAATACGTTTATACTGAGGAGGTGCTAGGTACTGGCTCGGGGAGTCAACTACCAATCAGAAAAATCCCCTGGTGAGATTTCTTCCATGAGCTTGCAGCATCAGGAATACCCCTCCCTCAGTATTTCCACCTTATCAGTAACGTAGGCATCGTTATTACCCTCGTAGGGCTATTTGCAAGGAACGCCAAGGTGATGTATGTGAAGCACTGTGAAACATTCTAAAGCGCTGTATAAATGCTAAGTGCTATTATGTAACACCTGGACGGCCATGGCAAGGATAATTAAGGCATAAAGTGTGACGAGGATCTGATAGCTTTCTTTCCATCTAACTGCAGGGGACAGAATCAAGAGGAAGAGGTGACATATTCTTCCTGCGTCCTCTCCCTCCCTGGTATAAGAAAACGATCCTGAATCTGCACCAGGACCCAGAAAGTTATGTTTAGAAACTTCATATTTCCACTTTCCACAAGTTCAGGTGTGTGCGGGGGGGGAGCCACCCGAAAAAGAACCAACAGGTACAGTGCTGCATCGTGCAAGGAGAACTTCAGACTCTGCTGACCATTCTTTCGTCAAAAGGGAGGGAAGCCTCTCAGACTCAGTCTGTGGGGTTTATTAATGACGCTACACACTGAACAGGATTATGATATTCAGGACCTTTCAGACATTTAAACTGGGAAAGGATTTACAGGGGTATGGGATTCAGATCTCCTTTGTACCCCAGTTTGGTGTAGTGGTTAAGTGCGTTGACTCTAATCTGGGAGAACTGGGTTTGATTCCCCACTCCTCCACTTGCACCTGGCTGAATGACCTTGGGCAAGCCATAGTTCTGGCAGAGCATGTTTGACACCCCTGGTCTAATCTAGTCTAATATTCTATCTGTGGGCTTGTCAATATCTGAAAAGTTCCACTAAAAAAAAAAAAAAGCCTTCTAGTGAAGGTCAGTCACAAACCGAAAATTGCACCAGGACTAAATCATTTCTTGCCTTCTTGGAACGACCGAAGGTACCAATTTTAATCTAAACAGCTTGGGCCTTATAGACCATATCATCTCCTGTTCCATCACCATCTTTAAGAGGGTATCATTTGCTGCTTCACAATTATGGACGCTAGTTTTTTTAAGCAAATCTTTAAAGCCCGAGTCTGAACACTTTCCAAAAGCACTGTAAGCCTGCAAATACAACAATCAACTGGCTCCTAAATATGCCAGCAAAACCATTTATGAATCTCTCCTACTGCTCATCTCCTCCAAAAGATCAAACTTCCCGAGTTTGCCACACATATCGAAGCCAGAAAGGCTTATGCAAAAGCTTTCCTACACCAAGACGTATGATACATAAGTGGTCCAGATCAGTATGTTAATTCTTAAAAAGGCAGACTTATTCCATTTAAGAACGTAAACGCAATTCCCATACACCTATTATGAAAACATTGATACTGGAATCAAACACAAATGACAGGCAGATGGTAACATGTTTGTTGGATCATTTCCATACTGCAAATATGTATGCCTATTTCTGGCTGCTCACCTATGCAAAACAAACAGAGAGAACCCCTTTGTTTCAAATATCCAGTAAATGACTGCCTCTGTCTCAGCTGTGACTTCCTACATTTGGAATTGATGATCTGAAGCTCCTACTGCTGAACAAACAGCAAGCAACAGAATTAAGTGTCTTCACAGACAGTACTTGAAATATCACTTAAGATGGGGGAGGGGGGAAGCAACTCCTTCCCTTCATTCAGTATCTATGAAAGTTTTCAATTAAACTTTAGACAATGTTCCCTCTAAGCTGAGTTAGTGTGAGCTAGCTCACAGTTTTTTAGCCTCCAGCTCATACATCTTTGTCTTAGCTCAGGAAGGATGGCTGCAGAGCAAACCAATTTATGCAGCAGCCAAACTGCTCACTCACGATTTTAATGCCAGTACCTCACACAGTAGAAATTTTGCTCACAAGACACCATAGCTTAGAGGGAGCATTGGAAATAACTGCCGCAATCTATTGAGGAGAAAGAGATGTCCTTTTTAAACACCTTGCAGTGAAGACACTCAAGATGTGGTTCAGATTGTTAGAAGACTTTCAAAAAGGCACTAATAATCTCTACATCTAACAGTAAAGCAGTTCACCCTCATGACTATCACAAAAGAAAACAACTCTGAGGCCATCCGCAGACAAGGTGAAAGGCTCCCCGGTGTGCAGAAAAATGTGACTCTGTAGATTGGACGGAAAAAGGGAAGGCCCTAAAACCGTCTGATGGGAATGGAATGTGCTCCAGGATTGCAGAATGATGAGATGAGGTGAAAGTCAATTAAGATGGCGGCGAAGGAAAGTGAGAAGTATCATCTGCTCCGAGCAGAGCCCTGGAAGGAAAGGAACAGCTCTCCCCCCCACACACACACACAATTTTTTTTTTCTTGAAGGGTTTTAAGATCCACTTATTGTAAGAGCCTGGAGGCGGCCATTCAATGGTAACAGAATGTCACCATCTTGTAATAACATCATGTGCTCTGTAACTACGGTTTTATAGTTAAACTTATTTTAATGTTGTTTATATTGGAGTTTTAATGTATATTTATACCTATGTTGTGAGCCGCCCTGACCCCGCAACGGCAAGGAGGGCGGCATATAAATCTAATGAATGAACGAATGAATGAGCACCAAAGGAAAACCAGCTTGGTCACTGCCCTGGGAATTTACAGAATATAGGAGGGGAGGATTTTCATGAATGAAATGGGGTTTCCAAGCTGTTTCTTTCCCATCCTCCAACGACTGATTCCTCACAGAGCTGTAGCTTGAATTATTATTTTTTTAAATCATTTCTGCAGCATACAACTTTTAATTCATCGCACAGGATGGAGCCAAACAAAATCTTCTGATAACAGGTGCTTCCCTCCGTGGAATGGAACCTTCCTGCCTCCCATAGAAGTCCACTGGTCTCCCTGAAATGTTGCTCCTGGGGACAGGGGACCTCAGGAGCAGCAATGAAGGGCAAATCGAAGGTCTGCAGTGGGAAGAGGGAATGGAACCTTCCCCTAAACAGAAAACACAGGCTTCAATCTTCTCCAAATGCCGTGTATAGAAGCTTGAATCCCCACCTTCTCCCACCCCACTGCAGCACGAAATGCTCCCGAAAATCCTGCTTTGGGGGAGGGGGGGACAGGGGCTCCCCAGGAACAGCAGGAGTGCGAGAGCCGCGGAGCCATTACCAAAGGGGGAGAGAAGCAGCAGAAACCACACCCCTCCTCACTGTGTATGTGACTCTTTTACACAGGATCTGACCCATATTTTTAAGAAGGCTGCCAGTGAACCAATTACTACAGCTTATCAATCTGATACTCGGCCACATGTCTAAATGACTGGAGAACTCTTCCAGTTACAAACTGGAGAAAGAAATCCCACCCTTCAAGAGTTCTTAAATGACTCATAATTCCTGAGTTCTCTTTGTGAGCTCAGAAGCAGCTGCAAGGTAAAATGACTGCTTCAGAGGGTAGCTGTGTTGGCCTGCAGCAGAACAGTTACATTTGAGTCCACCAGCCCCTTAGAGACCAAAAAGAGTTTCAGGTTAACCAACAAGAGCTTCTTGCGAACTTCTACCTTGAAATGCCTGTCGGTCCCTAAAGTGCTACTGGACTTGAACCTAAAGGTAAAGGGCGTTAAGAGACAAAAGCTTCTTCTCAGCTTGGGTATCTGAGCCATGGGACTTGAATGCTCATGGTCGTGCTAAAGAATTACTATCCACAACAGTGGTTGCTCTCAGCATCGCAAATTCAGCTGTCGTTTTTGTATCTAACATGCAAGTGGTATTTCGTACTTAACAGCTGAGATGAAATTTTGCATTTGACACCAGCAAAATTCAAACCCAGCCAGATGTCACCAATGTTCAAAGTTCAAACACAAGCCAAATTTCTCACTGAAAAGGTTAACGGAAATAATTTTTGTTTCAGTTAACACAGACAGACAAGGCTGTAATGAATCCTTATTTGAACTGCTTTTAGTGGCCAAATTAAAATAGAGAGACTGTTGAGAGATTCTAATAATGCTGGATTTTGTGAAAGGATGTTCTATGTGTTCAATTTTTAAATATTGTTTAAATGTGATGCAGTTTGCCCACAGACTTTAGAAAAGAGCAAAAACACCAAATGAAATAATACCTTTTGATGTGGCAAAATAAAACCGTAAGCCCATGCAACTGAGGGCTAGATTTCCAGGGGGAAATGGAATGGACTTTAAAATATGCACATGCAAAAATCAGTTGTTTTGAACATCTTCTGTTTGTTCAAGCTATGGTTATTAAGCAGCCAGCGTTTCCCCCTCTTTATTAAAGCTCTGCTTCAATGTGCTATATTTGAACTCTAGGTGAAATGGTCCAATATGGTATAAAGTAGAGTAATATAAAAATTTTATTTACCTTGCTTCTTGTTTTTATTTTCAATTTAGTCTTCTGCTTTCTTTTTAATTTCTTCTTATTTAACAGTTTTTTACACCTAGTATAAAAAATAAATGTAAACATTACTTCACAATAAAGATACATACAATAGGTTTCATGGCCTTTAGATCCCATTTCTCCATACACAGTGGAAACAAAAGTACCCTATGCTCTCCACAAAGCTATTAAAATCAGCCTCAGACAAAGGCATGAAATAGAGAGACATTTTATATCAGTGTTAGTTTCCCAAATAGAGATTTCACATAAAATATGCTTCTGTGTTTAATCAATCCTTTAACCCCAGTCTGAACAGGGTTAGACAAGTACCTTGGTAAACCTTCAAAGTTTTGTCTGGCACATTCCAGTAACAAATACCTCATCATTCCTTAACAGGCATGAAGTTTGCTACAACCCCCAGTATAAATGGTCCATAGGATGCAAGAAAGTTCTACAATACATTTGGACAACAGAGAAAAATAAATTTTAGACCATATAGAAAAAAATTGGCATTCAATATTCATATTTCTCAGTCTCACTATCATTAATCTAGAAAAAATTAAGCAGATGATAGGATCAAGTTTAATTTTCTTGTTGCCCAGTACTTCATGTCAACAAAGAATGATCATATTCCCATAACTTTGTCTTCACTCCCTGGGATTGTCTGATGACCTCCAGATTCCAAGGACCTGATCTTTGATGAACAGAACATATACTAGAAAAAGAACAGTCTCCTCCCTCACTTTTTAACTCATTTTCCCCTCAAAGGCTGCAAATATAAAGAAAACTTTCCATAAGCGACCTGCAAGACTTTGAGGAGACTTAGGAAAGCTATAAGGATGCTTTCCAATTATAGCTAAAGAGTACACTTACTGACACTCTATAAAAAAAGGGCTGAGATCCCACTGCCCTCTACATTCCAGTGGGAGAGGAGGGGATTAGTAATATATCCAACTCTCACCATGGCACAATCTGTGGCTATTTAAATCTGGAGACCAGGTCCATGAACACACAAGACAAAACTTTCTACAAAACAGAAAAAAATCCCCAGGTTTGCAGAAAAATCTGAAGTCTTTTTAAAAAAAGAAATACAGTAGAGATTAAGAAGATCAAGGAACTGACCGTATGATGAGGAAACTAAGCACTAGCACTTTATCGTACTATTATATCTATGATTTTAAGAATTCTTGTTTTTATATTATACTGTTTCTATGTAAGCTGCCCTGAGCCGGCCTCAGCTGGGAGGCTGGGTAAACATCTAACTAATAAATAAACAAATAAATAAATTAACCCTCCTAAAAAACTAACAACCAGAAGCAGCACCTGTGGCTTTAAGAAATTAATACCTTGTCAGTGGTTGCTACAGTTGTTGCTAGGAAACCACAACAGTACTGGCAGCTTCTAAGCCTTGGTTTCTGTCCATAGAAGATGGCCCTTTCCAAGCCAGCACTGACCACCAGGTGACCGGCTACCATCCAACTTCCATGACTCACCCAGGTCTGGCTGCTTGCTACTGTTCCAACAGCAGCCACCCAATGAAAGCCTCTGTGGTACAGTGGTTAAAGTTTTAGACTAATATCTGAATCAAGGTTTGAATCCCCATTCTGCCATGATAGCTCACTGGGTGAACTTAGGCCAGTCACACACTCTCACCCTCATGTACCTCACGGGATTGTTGTGCAGATAAAATGGAAGGAGAAAGATGTAAGCTCCTTTGGGTCCTTATGAGGGAGAAAAGTAGAATATAAATTAATTAAATTAGTAATAAATATAGCTGAAGTTTAGTGGGGAGAGATAAAAGGTTGGTGGGGTAATGGAAAGAAGAAAAGGATGAAGAGAAATGTGAGGATATTGGGGCTGACAGGAGAAAGAAAAGAGTTTTCTGAGGGACAGGCTGCCAGGCGGAGGAAAAGAAGGAAAGCTGAGAACGGGACAGGCAAACAAAAGTAGGTTGGATAGTGAGTGGGAAGGAAGGAGCGCAGGAAAGAGGATCTTTCAGGGAAGGGGAAGAAGAAATAGTGGGGGAAGGGGGAATGAGATGCCACCCACATGTGTTTACAGGTCCCCTGCTTGTCATTATTTAATTGCAAAATCTGATCTAATAGGATTTCTTTCTCCAAATCTCATATACACACTAAGCAGGGCTCACGCACACACTAAGCAGAACAACACTGGTTCCCATGGGACTTCACAGAGAAAGACCTCGTGAGTAATCATCCATTTCAGGGTACAGAGGTACATAAATTTAAAAATGATTTTACCTTTTAAATATATGCATTAGCAGAACCTTAAGAAATTCCTTTCTGAGATAATGAATGGGGTATGGTTAATCAAAGGCTCGCTGTCAGAAGCAAAGGCAATCTTCAGCCTTCTTTTCTCCTACTACAATACAGCAAAACAAAAAAAACCCACCCTTGTTTGTTTTATGAGATTGTCGTTAATCTACCAATTAAACCTTGATCTCTATTTTGCGATGCCCTTTGCAGTACTAAGCATCTGCAACACTCCCGGATTACATAACAGTCAACGGTATCAAGCTCTGCTGAAAGATCTATCCAGATCACAGCACTGTCTGCCTGGTGGACTGCAGTCAATTAAAAAAAAAAACAACTCAAGCACTAATATCACTATTAAGGGGCACTTACTTGGAATGTGGGATTTGCATGTACACCTAGCACTACTAAAAAAGCATGGGGAGAAAAATGGTCACATGAGGCCAATAAACATGCACAACTTTGTGACCCTATCAACAGCCAGTTAACCACTAGAGTGAGCAGAAGAACAATGGAAAGATCACAGCAGAAAACAGCAAGTGATAACTAGACAGAGAAGGATTTTCCAGCCACCATGAGAATCCAACAAAGAGACTACATGGAGAATGATAAAAGAACTAATGCATCATTATTCCAACAGTGATTTTAAAAGTGTGTTTCCCACACTCCTCAGCCAATACAAGCGCTTAGGCGGCTTGCAAATCACAATACACATTAGAAATGAGTAGTATCTTCAAAGCAACAGGAAAGGACAGAGTCAATGAAAATCCTGAGCAAGTGACCAGGCACTGAAATCTTAACAAGGCTGACACCAGATGAACAGACGAGGAGAGACTGCTCCGTACTCAGGGTGACACAACTGAAAAGCCCTCCCTTGAAATGCTCATCTCATCTTCAATACCGGAAGAAAATGGGAGCAGGGCCTTAAGTGACACGCATCTACAATACGCAGACAATCATTTAGGTATACTGGCATTACCACCTCATCTCTCGAACTCCCCTTCATATCAATTTTCATTGATCTGAAGCCTTAAACACTACAGCAATGGCTTGTAGACAGGAGAGTTGTCACCTCCCCTTCTTACCACAACCCTCTGTCCTTCAAACCTGCTCGCAGGGGCAAGGGCAGAGTTGTTCGGGAATAGCACAAAATGCAGAGCAGGGGAAGCAACAAGAGGGAATCAGCAGACACTCCCCCTCCCCACCCTTGTTCAAGCTTTATGCAAAAGAAGCAAGTGCTCACACAAAATGGGAAGGCAATTTCTGTTGACTCCCATCCTACGGCAAAGTTCACATGCACCATCTTGAACCTTTGGTAGTCACAACTTTCAGGTTGACAAAAGGGCCAGGAATTTTAGGGCTTGTTGACATGTGTTCAAGGGTCTTTGTTGTTGTTTTTATGGGCAAGAAAGGCCCTTTGCTGAGAAGAGAGCAGGGGGAAAGCGAGAGTTCTCCAGGTAAGAGGTGCAAAATCAGACAAAGCTAAGCTATGTTTTGTGCTTTGTAAGATGTTAAACTTTATTCTGACTCAGCATGTTTTTTTCTGGAATTCACAGGACAGAATGTGGGTGAGGAAAGGGATGCCAATTAGGAGTAGGGTGGCTTTTTTACAATTAAAATCAAGATTTGCCAAAGATAAAAGAAGAGGCTTTATGAACACTAAAACTGAGCTAGACAAAATTTGGTTGTCATCCGCAGATAAAACAATACAAAAATTTTACAACTTCTTAATAAATGATGCTACACAAACGGAAATAATAAAGCCCTGTATGAAGGCGTGGGAGAAGGATATAGGAAACACCATAAATTTAGAGATGTGGTCAAAACTGTGGAACTCAATAAAATTACTAAGAGCCACATCTTATAAGGAGAACATTTTCAAAATGTTCCACAGATGGCATTGGACTCCAGATAAGCTAATGAAATGTTATATACAGGTTTCAGGGAATTGCTGGAGGTGTAATCAAAATGTTGGCACTTACTACCATATTTGGTGGAGGTGTGGAAGAGTAGAAAAATATTGGAAGAGTGTAAAACAACTAATTTTAGAGATTGTAGAAATTGATTTACCACTGGAACCAGAAATATACCTGTTGAACATGTTACCGGATAGGATAAAATACAAGTTGACTCCCATCCTACGGCAAAGTTCACATGCACCATCTTGAACCTTTGGTAGTCACAACTTTCAGGTTGACAAAAGGGCCAGGAATTTTAGGGCTTGTTGACATGTGTTCAAGGGTCTTTGTTGTTGTTTTTATGGGCAAGAAAGGCCCTTTGCTGAGAAGAGAGCAGGGGGAAAGCGAGAGTTCTCCAGGTAAGAGGTGCAAAATCAGACAAAGCTAAGCTATGTTTTGTGCTTTGTAAGATGTTAAACTTTATTCTGACTCAGCATGTTTTTTTCTGGAATTCACAGGACAGAATGTGGGTGAGGAAAGGGATGCCAATTAGGAGTAGGGTGGCTTTTCCCATTTCCAGTCCATCTCCCATCAAATTAAATCCTACTTGCCATGTCAGCAGACCATTACAGTAACATGGTAGCAATCCAGTTCCAGGTACTCTTGGATGAGAGATCATCTGAAGCCATTCCAGCCTGGGTTTGAGACTGAAATTGTCTTAATAATTTGGTGGATTACCTGTGATAGGATAGAACATGGTGCTCTTGAAAGCTACTGAGAGACCCAGAAGAACCCATACTATCAGCCATGGATTGTCTATGGGACTGGAACTAAGGAGTACTATGTTATAATGATTTCATTCTACCTGGCAAACTGAATATGGTACTGTG